TTGAATCTACCACAAACTTATTTATTGTGGTCAAGAAAAATTCACATCGACACAAAGTAAAAATGGGGTGACACAGTGGCTCAGTGGTTAGCACTGTCGCCTCACAGCAAGAAGGTCGCTGGTTTGAGTGCTGACTGGGGCAGTTGGCATTTCTGTGTGGAGTTTGCATGTTCTCCCCGTGTTGGCACTGGTTTCCTCCAGGTGCTCCAGTTTCCTAGAGTCCAAAGACATGCGATACAGGTCAATTAAATAAACTAAATTGTCCGTAGTGTTTGAGTGTGTGTATGTATGGGTTTCCCAATACTTGGTTGTGGCTGGAAGTGCATCCGCTTCTGCGTCGAGTGATCACCGTGACCCACAGTGGCTGCCTAGCAGCTGTGCATTTATACTTCTGCATGCTGTTTGTGTTGCTCTGCAATAACACTACCGAAACACCAGCTGGCAGTAGGTTTTTATGTTCCTCTGTGTCGAGTTTCTTCGCAGGTGTTTTTTTTTTTCTGAACGCTACCTAAGAGTACAAGTAGCTGAAACTTGCTCATTCAGAGGTGAGAATCAGCGAACGTGCTACAACATTTATCAAACAGTAAACACAAAACAGTTTCCATCTAGAGCTATTTCACGGGACTCGACAGGTTAACACTTACTTCAACGGGTTAGCATGGCACACCTGCCTACTTTATTCACAGCTACCAAGCCAACCAATCACAGAGCTTGGGCTACGTGTCGTTGCGACTGTGTAGTTAAATTTTTTAAGAGGTGCGAGTCAGTAACGACGAGGGCTATGTGACCAAATGAAGGCTACGCCAGAGCGTACATGTGCGCTTTACGCAGAAGTATAAATCAGCTTTAAGCCGAAGGAAAATGAATGAATGAACAAAGTAAAAATATTGTTACCAACCATTAATTATTATTATTTTTTTTTTTACTTTGGTGTAGATTTTTATTTTGGATTTACCGTTTTACCCTTAAAACAAAGTATGGTAACTTAAAAAAGTACATTTATAACATTTATATATCTTTCCTCATATGATTGTTTTGGCTTGGTGTATGTAAAATTGAAAATGTAATTTAATATTAATCAAAATATTTACTTTGCCAAAGTGGAAAAAAAATGAAATTCACTCAGTGTAAAATATTTATAATTTTTTTAAAGGACAATTAGTTAATTTATTTCCTTTTGTTGAACTTAAATATTTACTGGGTGTCCGCAGGGTCTTAAAAAGTATAATTTTTATTATGCAATGTATGGTTGTATGCTAAAGTTTGCCTGCAAATAAGTCTACAAATATCAGGATGCTGTGTAGTTTATGAAATCAATTAAATCCTACTTGATTCTACATTACGCTGCTTTGTTTACTGCAGTAACCAAGGCAACACCATTATTTCTGCAGTTCTATAGAGGCCAACCCGCTGAAAAAGCTAGATTTAATAGATTTGTATTTAGTATACCATAATATTTTAGTTTGGGATTAATTTCTTACAATAATATTTAGTGTACATATTGTAAGTTAAAATCTCAGTATTTCCAGTTGAAAAAGTGATTATAAGGTCTTAAAATATATGGAAAGAGTCTTTCATTTCAAAAAGTATTGGTATTGAATTTCACTTTTTCATTCCTGTATACACTCTGGTTTGTTTGGGGAAAAGAAAGTTTTTTTAAAGCTATAATATCAAAGTTTATACTTTGGATAAACTAAAGACATGTAATGTTAAATGCTACTGCTAGATATTTTGTTTTCAATCTTGAGGTAAACTAACTATAAAGCTTGGGTCACTTCATTTTGATGGTCCGTTTGTTGAATTTAAGTTCAACATTGCATCTACATGCCAACTAATTCTTTTTAGATTATAAGTAGACTGTTAGGTTGGGGTTAGGGTTGGGGTTAATGTTAGGGTTGGTGTAAGTTGACATGTACTTGCAAAGTTTCTAAGTCAGTTAAATGTCTGTGGGCCATATTAGGCAGACACTTTACTAATACTCAAATGGACTATCAAAATAAAGTGTTACCAAAGCTTGTGCTTTCAGTATGGCAATAAATATGCAAAATAGTAATGAAATATTTATAGCAATGTGAACATTAAGTATTATTCATTCAGGTTTGTCAGTTTTACATTTCACTTTATTATCCAGATCGATTGAATTACATTTTATATTTGTGGCACTGTATATACTGTACATATTTGTTATATTGTTTTTATCTTTTTTTTTATTTATTATATATATATATATATATATATATATATATATATATATATATATATATATATATATATATATATATATATATATATTTTTTTTTTATGTAAACCCTAACCAGGGACGAGGGTTGCAGATTAACTTCATGCTATATGTCCCATGTGTTTGTATAACAATGTCAAGTGCATTGTCCGTGTTAATTAAACTAATAAAATAAATAAATAATCAAACTTGCGTAGGAAAAACACAAAATCGAATAGCAGTATTATTTTTTTCATATAGTCATGATATGAAAACTAATAGTTTAAAGTAAAATTGTATGCTTTGATGAAACTAATATTTTATTTTAAACTAAAAGTTAATTTTTTTTGCTTTAAGGAAAATTCATAAAACAGGTTAAAATCAGAAATCAAAGTCAGAAAATTATTTTTCAATATTATTTTCCAATATAAAAATGTACTTCGAATAAAAAACACAGCAGTTTTACTTTTTTTCAGTGTAGAGCCATAATTATCTGTTAACCTTTTCGCTTTTTTTTTTTTTTTTTCTTTGTTCATGTTTTGGTAGCCTTTTAGATTGTGAGTGAGCTGTGAAACTTCTGCCACCAGCAGGCTCTGAAATTGCTTTCTTCAAACAGTGTATTTTTGCAATACTGTGTTTTGCCTACACTGTGTTGTTTTGCAGGGATATTTTTGTGCACATTAAATTGCATCTTCCAGCAATCCTGCATCTGTATTTTCTCTTGGAATCAATAAAATATCCCTTTACTTTATCTATCGTATCTATCTTTTCCTTTTTATGTTGTCTAATCTCCGATTCTGTATATTCAGTTACCAAGCAAAGGCTTTCAAATGAATAGATACGACTTTTTAAATTCAAAAGGTCATATTACAGTTGAACTGAGACCTTATGAAAATCGATTCAGTTTAAAGGAAGCTCAAAGTAGCGAGTAGCACATATGCTGGAGGAAGATTATCTCGAGTTATTTCATAGGATTATCAAGTGTCTCACATACAGGCAAGGAGGCAGCCTATATGTGGACAATTTCACAGTGTTTATGTAGCCAATAAAACTGGAACAAATCAGCATTTCTGTCTTCTAAGAGATCGCTTTCTTGCATTTGAAGTTCACATGAAATGCCATTCGCAATGCATTATGCTTCCAGAATATCATATGATGTATGAAAATAGAATATGCTCATGGTGAAATGTAGGGCAGGATGTGATTGGATTGGAAAAAGTGGGCGTTGCTTAACAGACTGGATTCAGTTGGTTCTGGTTTGATGTAAAAAAAAAAAAAAAAAAAAAAAAAAGACACAACTGTTACTCTTAAAGGCAATTTATCCAAAAACGTTAAAACCAACATGGCTTTCATCAGAAAAAAAAGATGCCAGAAAAGTCTAAGTTTTGTAATTTTTTTTACATCACACATGAAGCCATTAGTTAACCAATAATAATAATAATAATAATAATAACAATAATAAGGAATAATAAAAATAATACTAATAATAATAACAATAATTAAAAATAATAATAATAATAATAATAATTATTATTAGTGGTGTGAAAAAGTGTTTGCCCCTTTAATAATTTCTTATTTTTTGCAGGTTTCTCACACTTAAATGTTTCAGATCATCGGCTACATTTAAATATCAGTTAGAGATAACACAAGAAAATGTATCATGCATTTTTTTTATTAAGGTTTTTAATATTATTAGAAAACAAAATACCAAACAACACACCCCTATGTGGAAAAAAAGTGTTTGCTCCTAAACCTAATTACTGTTTTGGCCTCCCCTAGCAGCAACAACTGCAATCAAGGGTTTTTGATTACAATTGTGACACATTCATCTTTGTGGAGTCCACATTGAAGGTTTTTTAAGCATTAACCCCCTTTTTAAGGTCATGCCACATCATCTCAATTGGATTCAGATCAGGGCTTTGACTACGCCATTCCAAAGTCTTCATTTTGTTAGCTATTTAGATAACTAACAGATGGATAACATGTTCTATGTTTTGCCATTTGTAGCTAATGGCTCTCACTGTGGTTTTCTGCAGTTCCAAAGCTTTAGAATTGAATTTATAACCTTTTCCAGACTGGCAGATATTAATTATTTTCTTTCTTATCGTTTAAATTTCTTTGGATTTCGAGCATGATTTCTAGCTTTTGGGGATGTTTTGGTCTACTGCCTGGCAGGTCCTATTTAAGTGAAATTTGTTAGTTGATCTGAAACATTAAAGACATTAGGGGGTAAACACTTAGTCACAACAGTCACATCACTGTTTATATGCAAAAAGTTTGTAAGTAAACTGGATTTAATGCTTTTGGTGTGTATTTAGAGTATATTAAACGCTTTAGTCTGTAACAGAATTACATATACTGTAGAATATGTGGCAAATGTTAGTGAGAGCTGACCAAGGATCAGAAGACTTAAGACCCAGAAATGAAAATTGCTCTGTAATTTACTTACCCTCAAGCCATCCTCTCTATATATGAGGGTTTTCTGTCAGATGAACACAGTCAGAGTAGTTTTAAATTTTATCCTCACTCTTCTTCCATGCTGTAAATGGTGTTGGATTGTGGCTTTTATTTTGAAGCTTATGACACAATTATTTAATATTTTTTAAATATGTGTGTTGTCTTACAAATCTATTTCTGAAAACTGCACTGTATATCATAAAAACAAACAAACACAAAATCTTTCTGATCTCAAACTTTTCAGTAGTAGTATGTTAAAACAAATCTTTGTTCTCACTCTGTGTGCTTTCTGTTATTCTGAACCCTTTTATGTCTCTGTGTCCAGATAAAGCCCCTCATTTCTCTCGTCTGGGGGATGTGGAGGTCAATGCTGGACAAAACGCCACTTTCCAGTGTGTGGCAGCTGGACGTCCCTCTGAAGCTGAGAAGTTCCTTTTGGAGGTGAGTATTTGAGGCAGATTTTTCTATTTTTGTGTGGAGATAATTTTTAACGCATTCATCAGCTAGAGGCTGAGATTGCCGTGGGATTGTGACTTGATGAATGTCAACTAAATTAGCATCAACAGGCTCAAAGCACCTACTGTAAGAGAAAGGCAGCTTTCTTAAAGCGAGACACTGCAGGTGATTAGGGTAAAAAATGAACTAATAGCAATCACCTTGCTATTCCAGGTGAATTATTACATTAACAATTCCAAGCATTCTTTATATTACAAACTTTTTAAAATCTTGTCTAAAATGTTTCAGTATGCAAATCAGGCATTTTTTAAATAAATTATGCTCTAATTTGTACACATTTCTAGCCCAAAAATCTAAATAGGGATCACTGCAGCATAAAGACCTCCAAATGGGAGGGATTACACCACAAGTAGGCTGGGTTTAGGGTTGGTGTAGGTGTTGTAGATATTAATAAAACACAACAGGTTACTGTGAGGTTGGGTTTGGGGTAGATGTAGGTGTAGACATTAATAAAACACAACATGTTACTGTGTGGTTGGATTTAGGATTGTGGTAGGTGTAGACATTCATAAAACACATAGTTTGGACTCTGTGTCACGTACAAGACATTATATAAAGGAAAACTACAGGAGGGTTGTACAGCCCACTTGGAACTCAAATTCCACCCACTTGGAGCTGGCTCCGACCTTCATTCATATACCCTTCTCCAAAAATCGGATCATTTTAAGGCTTTAAAATCTTTCTTTCTTTCTTTCTTTCTTTCTTTCTTTCTTTCTTTCTTTCTTTCTCATATTAGAGTTGAGAAGTTTTGGAAATCTCTTTTTATCAAAAAGTCAAAAAGCCAAGTCAAAATATTCACAGTGTTTTGTAGAATAAAATGTTGCATAATCAGGTAAATTATGCCTAAACATATCCCTCCATAAAAAAGGAGAATATAGATCCGAATAAAACTGTTTGTTCTGTGTAAGTGCTACTTAAGTAGATATTTCTGACTCAGTGAAGGAGAAAAAAATAAGTATTGTGCTTGAAATCTCCAGACACAAATTGATTAAATGTCTTTTAAAAAAAAAAACTCTTAAAAGTGTATTTTGAATGTTTTCTTTCTATCAGATTTTAAAAAAGAACACTTTATTAAACGCCAAAATGCCAAAATCTGAAAATTGACAGGTGCATGAAAAGCTGTGTTTTTGCCTGCAGTGTCTCACCTTAAGTAGAGCACTGTACATTTCAGAAAAACCTCTTCTCTTAAAACTCCTACTGTTTCTCAGATGAAATCAGAAAGGCCACATTTATGAAATACGAGTTTTGTCCTTCTCTATCATTTAGTTTTTTTAAACGACAACCTTTGGCTACTATTGACGCAAACTTTTTTTTTTACCATCATACTTGAAGGAATTGCTCATGAGACTGTTATAATATAATTTGATCAATTTTAAGTCCTAATGTTCTTGTTGAATGATTGATTCTATATTTTAAAACACCTATTCATATTTTTAAGCCAATTGTAAATGTCTATTTTTATTTCTATTTCTATTTTCTATTTTTTTTCTAAAATACACATTGCTTCCTTCCTATTAAATGACAACTGAGCAAGTAACAGTCAAAATGAACTTATGAAGAGCCCCTTCAAATAAAGTGTTACCCACTTTCCCGCCATCTCCCTTGTAATGTGATATTTCTGAGAGCATTATTAGGTCTCCTGAAGGAACATTTTCCTGCTGTTTTCTGAGAGCTGCAGTTTGTGGCTTCAGAGGTGGAATTAAATCAAATGAATGATTATGTGACATCAAGGTCAAGGACAGATGCCTGTGGTTGCAGACTGTCACAGCAGACGCAAGATTGTGCCATAATCAATGTCTTTGAACCCTCTGAAGTGCTCATTCCTGCCCTGAACACAGCAGGAGATACATGACTCCATGTTGGCTTTTCCTTTTTTATATGGATGTTTTCTTCTTCCTGCTTCTGTCATGGTGTTCTAGCTGTAGCTGTGGTCCTTGCAGACATTGCAGGATGACTAAACATGTGACCTGTAGATTTTATGATTAATGCCATTAAATGTGCGTTTGTTTGTACATATTTGTACTCATACAGGTGTTGTTAAAATTTAAATAATGATTTATTTGGATATTTTTCTCCAAAGAAAATGTAATGTATACAGGGAAATAGTAATATTATATATAATATTGTAACATCGAAAACTGTAATAACTGATGACATTTTAGCTTTGCCATCATAATAAGTTGAATTAAACAAACTAGCAAACAAGTCAAATACATATGGGGCCCTATCATACACCCGGCGCAATAAGGCGCAACGCATGTAGGGCACGTTTTGTTACTATTTTCAGACCAATGCAACTGTAATGTTCACGTTTTGCTCCATGCTGTTTAGATAGCAAATCCATTTCCAACATTTTGTGGACTCATGGGTTTGCTGATCTAAAAAGAAGTTGTGTCATGCTGTGTTCATACCAGACGTGCTATTCACACGTAAATAGCTGCATGAACATCTGAGTTAACTCGCTTCATTCGTGCGTCAAGCCCCGCTTTATTCGTGCGTCAAATCTGCTTCATTTGCACGTCAAATTCACTTCTGAACAGATGCATATTCATGTGATGGGCAGGGCTTCTGTCTCCCTGGTGACTCTAGCTTCGTTGCTAAATGGCTAACATAGATTTTACTAAGTAAAATAATAGTGTTTATGTGCTTTATGAAGGCTGAAAAACAGCGTCGATACGTTTAGGGCCGTGTCTGAGTCTACTTGATCCTTTCAGAGGTGCATCAGCTCTGTAAGATCATAAACTCCTCCAGAAACTTAACCTGGATGATGGAGACTTTCAGCGGTGCTTCTGACTAAGCTGAGCCCAGTTTGATGAACTGTTGTTGGTGTCGGCTGGAAGATTTCCCCCGGGACACCAACAACAGGCGCTACGTCACCATCACGCCCCCCACAAGAGCAAGCTCCTGAGGCTAATGCATGTCTTTAGTGAAGTGAGTTTCAACCATTCTCTTACTCCATGAAAGTAAAAGAGTAAAGTAAATATTAAAAGTAATTGTGAAATGAGACTCTAATTGGTTTAATGCACGTTGTGCTCAAAACACACCTATAACTCATTAAGAGAATAAGCACAACCCTGTTAGACCATGCACCAGGGCGCAATGCATATTTTTCTGTTTTTAAAATAGCAAAAAGTTGATTCGGACACTGCACTTTAGACTTTGCGCCTAGATTATTAAAATGCTTTCCAAAATATTAAACAGTGACTTGTTAAGTTGCTTCTTTCAGAAACAGTAGTTTTGCGGTCTGCTTCTGTCAGTTTTATTTTATTTTTATTTGTTTTGGTAAAAAAAAATTGTTAAAGGAACAGTTTGTATGTTTTTAAATGTATCTGCATTTTTTATTTTACTAATACAGTATGTGTAATGTGTATTACAATGTGATTACATAGCGTATTTTAGTTTAACTAATTGATCTGTAAAAATGAATTTAGAAAAGTTACCTATTATTAAAAATTATTTTAGAAAATAAAAAATTATTAAAATATATATATTGCAGTAAATGATAAGATTACGGGCGACATGGTGGCAAAGTGGGTAGCATGGTCGCCTCACAGCAAGAAGGTCGCTGGTTCAAATCCCGCCTGCGTCAGTTGCCATTTTTGTGTGGAGTTTGCACGTTCTCCCAGTGTTCGTGTGGGTTTTCCCCACAGTCCAAAGACATGTGCTATAGGTGAATTGAGTAAGCTAAATTGGCCAAAGTGTATGTGTGTGAATGTGAGTGTGTATGGGTGTTTCCCAGTGTTGGGTTGTGGCTGGAAAGGCATTAATTGACACATTAATTAATGAAAGTATTTATTATTTTTTATTATTTATGTACCAAACATTTATAAAAACAACATTCATGATTTACTGAATTTATTTGCATTTATAATGTATGACACGTTGCATCCAAACAAACGGTCCCCTGCTCTCTTCTGTTTATCCTACATGTTTGCCTGTCTGCCAGTTCACTGAGTGTGATTGCTAGGTTGAATAAAGAGAGAGTGGCTCTCAAAGCCAGATGATTGTACGTTTGGCTTTGTTTTATGCAAACCTCAAATTTGCAACCATTGCCCACACATTACCCCTGCATTCAGCTCTGGTTTGTGTGGTCTTGAACCACATTGGAAGCTTAAACGCTTCGGCAGCTTCGTAATAAACAAACACACGTAGTTGTGCAGCAGCCGCAGACCTCCTTCTGGAAGTGCTCTCCGCTGGTATAAGTGCACTTCCCAGTCATAATTTTGTGTCCTTGGTATTCAGAAAGGGGGAAAGGGAATGGGGGCTATTCACACCACTGTCTCGCTTAAATTACCTGAGCCGCAGTGAAAGCTTGCTGTTATCAAGTGTGTTTTTTGTGTGGGAGACGTGTCTGGTTCCACACAAAGCTCCACGTAGTGATGTCTGATATTCGGTTATGAGCAAGACTTTCAAGACTGCTTTATGTTTCACTGGTTATTATTCAGGTGAATCATACTTTGGTGTTCAACTTTTATGGCGTCACTCTCAGTCAAACTTTTTTCCCCATGTTTTTGACTTATCTCAAATATTTTATGAAAAGTGTATTTTTTTTAGTTAACTATTTATAGTTAAGTCAGTTAAATTGTAAAGTTTTCTAGCAATCCTAATTTCTGACAGCCTGGAAAATGAAAGCACAATACACAAATAACTTGACATTATTTCCTAAAATGTTTGATAAATTAGTCAGAGAGTGACACCAATCATACAAGAATTCAGTATTTGCTCTTTTGCCCAGAATAAACGTCCCTGGGGGCAGGCACTAAGACTCAGTGGGATATTAATGAGATTAAAGATTTGTTTATAATATTGCTCTGAGTCTTAGAACCTGCCCCGTGACACATTTATTCTAAGGCTGCGTTGTTACAATAATAAAAATTGAGAGAAAACAAGTTACTTCTATTTAGGAACGAAGCATCATTTGGGTTCACGAAACCACAAGTCTGGTTTTAAATTATTGTGAGAAGCTAACAATCATGGGGAACAGAAATCTCGAACCTGATTCTGTAAATTAACATGTAATTGACTGATTTCACTTTAATAATCTCAGAGGGAATTTATTTTGTCCAAGCGGCACACATCACATAACATGCAGTTTTAAATATACCGGAAAATACCTTTTTTAATATAATTAACACATAAAACACACACACACACACACACACACACACACACACACACACACACACACACACACACACAAAAAGAAATATCTTAGCCAAAACCAAAATGAGCTCCAAAGTATCAGCAAAAATCCAACATTGTGCATCACAACTGTATCAATGTCCAAATAAAACAAAAAATGTCTTTTTCATTTCTGAAGTATTTAACCAGTGTGCACTGTTCAAATTTACTGCACATTTGTTATGTTGCTGTAAAAAAATGCATCATATATATATATATATATATATATATATATATATATATATATATATATATATATATATATATATATATATATATATATATATATATATATTTTTTTTTTTTATTTCAGTCCTGATCAAAACTGCTAAAAATACTGGATTTTAACTCTTTAATTGTCAAGTTCACAAATGATGTCACTGATTTGGTGAAAATAAAACTACAAAATGACGTATTTTCAATGTTAATAGTAGTCTTTGTTTTTGTTTGCTCCATGTAGCTCTGAGAGCTGAAAAGCATATTTTGATTTTCTCAAACACATCGCAGTAAGTGTGTACTCTCCCATACCCGCACACATACACAGACTTTAATTTGCTTATACTCCATATAAAAAAAATTAAAAATAAAAATTCCAGTCCACAATTACATTTTTCATATTGAAAATATGTCATTGTGTGTGTGTGTGTGTTTTCTTCACTAAATCAGTAACATAATTTACAAATTTGGCAATTAAAAATTTAAAATCCTGTAATTGTCTTAGCAATTTAGTAGTTTTGATCAGGAATGAGGTTGATTAACAGATTTATGCAAATAATATTTAAACAAATCTTTATCTGATGCATCTTACAGCAGTTTAATTTAGCGGATGTTTTCATCCTGAACATAAAAAGGGTAGCAAATTTGCCCAGAGTGTATTGTTGAGTATATATATATATATTTTTTATCAAAGCATTTTCTCAAAATATGTGTCAAAATAAGATTTGTCACCAAAAAAGCATTCCACTAGCTGAAACAGAGAAAAATGTATGGCCAAATAAATACTCTAAATCAGCCCAGAGTGGATGAAAACATCCCCAACAGTACATACTGTAAGGGTTAAGTTTATTCATTATAACCCTTTTTGTACCCATTCAAGTAACTATTTAATTACAGTGCATTAAAATGTCCTATATCTTGAATTTTGCTCATACGTCTACCTTTAATCTGCAGATTTATCGTTATTCCGCATACACACTGTACTCTTATTGTGGTTTTCTTGTCCTTTTTAGTCCCCTATTGGATATTGGTAGCCTGTTGTCACAATGATATATATGTGTACCTGGAATAAAAGGTTCATAATTGATAACTTCATCAATAAGTAATTTGGCAAGTGCAATTTTAGGCTTGTTTTGGCTGAGTATCTGTGTCCCGAGCCTAATGACAAATGGCTCTGTCCTTCCAGAAATTCTGTTGTCACTGCAACTTGCATCCAGAAAATGCATTGCTCATTCAGTGTTTATTGCAGCGCTTGGCAGCATGTGACTGGCGCATGAGTAGGTTTGTAGAGCTTTCATGTTTTTTTTTATTCTTTTCTAGCGGCACAATGGTGAAGTGTCTTCAGGTGGTTCTGTCAAGCACTTGGGCCGCAACCGATTCGCAGTTTCCTTTCAACTGGAGGACGTCCAGAAGCCGGAGCAGGACCTTTACCGCTGCGTCACCCAGTCCTCCAGAGGCTCCGGCGTCTCCAACTTTGCTGAACTCATTGTCAAAGGTGAACAGCTTGTTTTCTTTCCTCCTTCCCGAATTCTTTTATCCTTTATGCCTGTATTTTACTGGCCATAATGTGCACATCATGAGATAATGGGATTCTGGCTACATCCAAGCCATTCTTTTCTCTTTTTTTCTATTATACGCTTGCATTCGCACACATTGTCCTCTTTTGTGATGAAATTGTCAGTTTTGCAAGATAAATATCCTGTATGTGTGGACTGTTGTAATAGTAGACTTTCATTTGCGGTTGTTTTTTTATTTTTAGTAACAAAACAAAAACAAAATGTATAATTCAATCTTTTTTTGAACTCATATTCTAAACCTGCTTTCCAATATATATTTTTTTCAGTTTAACACACAAATTTATTTAACTCAAGCTCCAAAATGATGAAATGTTGTAGTATTTTCCACGAGTTTTAAAGCTAGACCAGTTACAATTAACCATTTACACTTTACTACATGCCACCTGCCAATGCAAGTCTTTCGAAATGAAGTAAAGATCCTCATCTTTATACTATGGAGGAATGAACACTGTGTAGGGACCGCATGTCAGGATTTTGGCAAGTAAAATGCGATCCTGGATTAACAGCTATGTTGATCCTGAAAGATAATTTTTGTTCGAAAATTTAATCCATACCTATCCCTTACCCCTAAACCCAACCATACCTGTAAATTATTCCCAAAACCAGATGGGAATAAATGTTAGAAAACAATCGTGTAGAAGTAAATATGCCTAGCTGTAAGCCTGAACTTAACAAAAGTGGTAAACATATCCCTTAATTCTGATTGGCTGATTGAAATGTTGTTCCAGGATCAAGACAGATGTTAATCCAGGAACATGTCCTATTGTATTTGGCAAAATTAGGTTGGTGGTAGGGACCAGGGTTCAGGTTAACACATTATAAACAACTCAGATTACATTATCAGAAAACTTTTTTTCAATATGAATATTTTTTCTATTAAAGTAGATATTACTTAAATTATAATAAAATATCTAAGTTACTTTTTTGTAAGTAAAGCCAGCTACTTTGTTTTGTCATTTATTGACTAAAAGCTTTTCCATGTGGTGAGAAATCAGGAGTAAGTGCAGATGTGTCAAGTACATTATGTAAACATGATACCTATGCTGCGTCCCTATTCATCTACTTGTACTATGTCCTTAAAATGAAGAAAATGTTCATACTTTTGAGTGTGTAACAGAAAAGCTATGGGGTATAACAATTCATCATTAATGAATGTTTATGTTGCTTAGTCACTTCCCTAGTCAATCATCTCGACACATCTTCCACATTTTGTTTATATTTAATTACCTGCCTTATTGGAAATGAAGCAGCAGGTTGATTTGCCATTGTTCATTTTTCATGCAGATAAATCTCCTGAGATCGTTATATAAGTTCACATTGTTGTCGCACAGAAACCATTATTTAAATATTTTCCAGTTGGCTAGATATTACTTAATAGTCATTGAAAACAGCTTTACCAACGCTTCTCTTTACTTGGTGGTTGGTCTCGCACGTCTGCCATGTTTGGCAGTTTGTAGATCAAAAATATTTTTCTGCTTGTTCAAACTATTTATTTAAAATACGTTTTTTGGGGGGGCGAGGCAGTGGCGCAGTAGGTAGTGCTGTCACCTTACAGCAAGAAGATCGCTGGGTCGCTGGTTCGAGCCTCGGCTCAGTTGGTGCTTCTGTGTGGAGTTTGCATGTTCTCCCTGCCTTTGCATGCTGTCTCCGGGTGCTCCGGTTTCCTCCCACAGTCCAAAGACATGCGGTACAGGTGAATTGGGTAGGCTAAATTGTCCGTAGTGTATGAGTGTGTGAATGTGTGTGTGTGGATGTTTCCCAGAGATGGGTTGCGGCTGGAAGGGCATCCGCTGCATAAAAACTTGCTGTATAAGTTGGCGGTTCATTCCGCTGTGGCGACCCCAGATTAATAAAGGGACTAAGCTGACAAGAAAATGAATGAATGAAGTTTTTTGGGGATAACTTAATTTTAAATTTGTAAACATTTTTTAACTTAGCCTAATCAATTTGCATTTAGACAGTGTATTGTGGCCAATATTAACGTTTAGAGTACGGACGGTTCTACAGTTTGAATTTCTACCAGAAATGTCACATCATCCAAGAACCTTTGGCATGCTTTTTTCATTATACTGTGGTTTTGGGACATGGTAATTCTATTTTCGAACACAATTATAACAGATTATATGCAAATTGGGATGCAGCATTACTGTAGTTCTGTAGATTGAAGGGATAAATAACCCAAAAATGAAAATTCATTCATCCTTTACTCATCCTTCGCTAGTTCTAAACAGGTTTCAGTCAAAGTACCTTTAAGGCAAGTCATTTCACTTAGTGGCCATCTTTGAAACGCCTCTTGGGCAGTATGCTCGATCATTCTAACTGAATGGGGAAACATCAAATTCTCCAAAACTGTTTGCTAAGCTTACGATTACCTTACATATTTAGAATCACCAATGAAATTAAACAACATCTGTCTCTTTAGTTTCATTTCTAAATGTCAAAATCAAACAAAATCAGCATATTTTCAGGTTGCTCAAGCTAATGTGCATGTGCACTTGAAAGTAGATCACGACACCAACCTCAGTTTTGGCCGTTCTACACATTATTCTCTGGATAATGCTTCGTCCGATCAGGCTGGTCTTCAGAAGTAATTTACAACTTGATCTTGATGGCGAATCTCCTCCAGAAATGACAGGGACTCTTTGTTTATGTAATGTGCATTTGACAGGATGGGAATGTACCTCGTGTTCATTTCCTACAGATTACAAAACCAAAAAAAGTTTGTTTTCAAGTGCACTTGGTTCATTTAAATGTACAGATTTCAATTTATTTTGATTCTATTTATATATATATATATTTATATTTGCATTATTTTTGTATATTTCTTATGTGTTTGAAGCAAAAATTCGCTGAGAGTCCAGCACGTTTGATGACCATAAAACTGTCGTAAAAGCACACGTTCAGTCCAAGCTTTTCCCTTAAAGAAACATCAAACTACAGTGATATATGATTGGCTTCTGTACTAGTAGGCGGGGCTTCATTCGCCATATAGACCGTTACACTTTTCCCCATTCAAAACTATAAGAGTGACATGTCTTGTGTGTGTGACATTCCTAAAAGTAAATTTTTTAGTAAATATTTTGGGGTGAGCTATCCTCTTAAATGTGAACATGTATTTACTCATCTAACTTGCAGTAAAACAGGTCCAGTATTCTCCAGTTTCCTTAAAATGTATTAAAATTGTGAAATGCAAACTCATAATTATTGCTGAATAATTGTTGAAAGTGTTTAACTTTATTTTCGTGCAATAAACAAAAAAGGTTTATTTGAACTGCACCCTGTAATATTACTATTAAAAGTGACTGTCAGTCAGAATACTGTTCATGCATAAGGCTCTCTTCTAACAAGCTGGTTATCTAAATCAAGTGTGTTAAATAAGACGAGCGGTGTGATGCAATTGAACTGGAATTGAAAATCACCGGCCTAACTATACCATACATATGTAAGTCCAACCAATAAAATACTTCAATTCTGTTTAATGAAAGGAATAAAATACTACTTTAGAACAGTATTAAGTGGTCAAGATATAGTATCTGCCAAAAATAATCATGGGGAATAATTCAGGGGGAACTTCAGCATCATATCTGACCAAAGAAATGCTTCCTATTTGTAATTTCAACCACATATAAAACTTGACACCTGTCCATCAGCCTGCATTTGCATTTGCATTGCTTTCTGTGTCCACCTTTTAATCTCCGGTCAGATGGATTCCCCTTAAGCAAAATGGAGAAGTCAGGGGTGGAATGAGGATAGGCATGGATGGAGCCACGTGGGTTCTTCTGCATCCGTCCTCAAGGCATACTGAGAGAGAGGTTATGAGACAGCACCATGCTAATCCGATTACGGCGAGTTTAGACATACGGCTTTACTGTATGCTACAATGTGACCTAGAAGCATAGCATTAGAAACCTTCAGGGTGTTTTTCCTTAAATGTCGTCATAACAAAAAGCACAAATATAACAATAATTCACAGGTAATACCCTGGGAGATTCTAAACAGAAACATTTTAGCTGTTCTTTTATTTGTGTTCTCATGTACTGTTCGTTTTTTATAAATGGCAAGGCATTTTGTTTTCTCGTACTCAAATCACATAAACAGTCAGTCATTTCAGTTCAAAACACTACCTGTTGTAAATATGGTAAATGGACACTATTTGTCTTTTTGATTTTATTTTGTGTAGTTTTTTGTGTGTGTGTGTGTGTGTGTGTGTGTGTGTTACGTGTTGTATTCCATTTTATTAATTTGTCTTGTATTGTTTTATATTTTGGTGGTTTTTGTGTGTGTGTGTGTGTTCCATGGTTTGGTTTGTTCTTCTACTACTGCAGGGGTTGTCAACGTTTTTCACTTTGAGGCCCACCTTCTTCTGTGAAAATAAAGACCCACCTGACATATTTTTTTAAATCACATTAAACTAATTGTTTTGAGAAAAATGCTTATTTTAATCCTTTATTTATTAGCAAAACATTTATTTTGCCTTATAGTATTATTCTGTTTTTTTTCTACAGCATTTTATAAAAAAATAAAAATACTATTTTTTAAGCAACAGTCAACACAGGAGCAAACAGATGTATATGGGCAATCCAGAGTCATAGTCAAATAAACAGGCAGATGGTTAAAAGGCTGTCAGAATACAGGAACAAACAAACAAAACAAGGTGAGGGTCAAAAACACAGCAAGACAAGGCAAGGAAAAATGTGTCATAATGTTCACTATACTGTTAAACAAGACCCATGAGAGTCTCAAAGTGAGCTGTATATATTTGTGTGGTGTAATCAGTCCATGAGCAGCATCAGCTGTGGGAGTGTAATCAATGGAGACTTAGAGCAGGTGTGTGTGTGTGTGTGTTGCATGAATGGATCTTGTAGTCCATATAACAGCAGATTTGTAGTTCTCCAGTGATCTGCATGGGCTAGATCGCTGGTGACTGTGACAATATCACACGAGTAGCAGTCATGTGGCTGTATATTGGCACTGGTGGTAGGTAGAGTGCGTTAGTGTCCCACTAGTGACAATATATAGCCACATCGCACTGCTGCGAGTGTGATATTGCATTTTTTACAACAGTTCAACGGCATAATCTTGTATGTAAAAAAGATAATCAAACACAGAGAGTGTAAAAATCCTTTTGTATGAGGAACTACTTTCTTCCGCCATTCATTCACATCTGCAGATGATGGTTAGAACAGCAGAAACCATGCTGTTATTTTTACTTTACAAAAGTCACTTTAGAGCCACTATTTCAATGATTCTCTAGCTTAATGTCTAGTTAAGTAAAATAATGACAAAAGAGGTGTTTTTGCTCACATTTTAAGATTATAAGGCTGAACTGCATGAAATGCCATTAATCTATGGAGATTTCCCAGTGTTTCTGTGTTGCAATTGGGATTTCAGAATAATTAACCTCGAAAAAGCCAGATCAAAGTAAACACTACCAGTTTCTGTGGCATAAATACAGCACTACAGAATACAAAAGAGACAGATCAACTCAGAATGTCTCTTACCTGATTTTTAATGATTTGTTTAGCTGTAGTTAGAAACTTGCACTGAGAAATTGCTGTTTTCTCCCTTTAAGGACTTATTATGCAGTCTCTGTTGCCATCTTGTGGTGGAACGTCAACTGTCACTTTCTTTGGCCTGCTCAGAAAGGCTGATGGCGGCCAATGCACTGAATCTGATGCTCCAAAATTATTAATGTTTTAAAAGAGGCACTATCCTTATAAATAAACTACATATGCTATCTAAACAACCACATTATTGCCTAAAAAAGCCTCAAAAGTACATTATGTTGTCCAACATAGCAATATTGTGTCCTACACAAGGGTGAAGATGTGGTACAAGTATAAAATATCACACGGCAATCAGCTAATCAGATTCAAGAAAAAGGCAGAACTGTTGTATAAATATAATTTTAAATATGATACAACATATTTTATGCAGTTTTATATTGTATAATATAATATTTTATTTTATATAATTCATATTTTATGTTTATTTTTTATACAATGCTCCCAAATTCTTTACTTCAGTTAATCTTTTCAACTGCAAAGCATTCGGGCCTTTTCTTCAATAAGTTTAAATCAACAAACTTGTGCGACTCTGATACAGTACAAGTCACAGATGTGAGGCACACGCAAGCTGGTTATTATAACTCTAATCATTGTTACTTTTAAGTTCGCGTGATGCTTTGCTTTTTACAGCTGAAAATCTAGTCCTAGTTGGCATGTAGCAGTTGGAAGTTTAAGCTACAGTTATGTCTGTATTTAACGGTGAGCCTGTTTTTGCACCGAGTCCTAAGAAATCAATCACAGAAAAGGGAAAATGCCATTACTGCGACCATTTTAATATGCCATATCGAATAATGAATTAAAATATTTATAATATAATATTTAAGTTCTTTTTCATCTTGTGGCCCACCTGCAGGATTGCTAAGGCCCACTAGCAGCCCACCCGTTGAGAATCTCTATTCTACTGTATGTTACTTATTGTTTATTTTTTTTTATTTTTTTGTACTTTCTGTTACTTTTAAATCATTTGTCATATCATTTTTATTTTTTTTATTTTACTGTTTTTTTTAATGTTTGTTATGTGTTACGCTTTATTTTATTTCTGTATTTATATTTACTTAATATCTGCTTTGTGTTTGTTTAAATATTCGGTCATTTTATTTACTTTATTTTGCTGTTGCCCAACGTTTGTTATGGAATTTTTGTATTCTGTCTTGCATTAGTTTGTTTTTGTTCTGTGTTTATTTATTCATTTAATGATTTTATAGATTTTTTTACATTCTCTCCCAAGAGAGCAAGCACTTCTCTTTCCATCTTTTTAAGCTGCCCGCATTTCTTGCTTGCGACGTTAACGCGATTAGATAAAAGCATCTGCTAAATGCCTTAAATGTAACTATATTCCGGCATAAAATTGTTAATGTTCTCCAGATCTTGTCATCAAATCCGAAACTCATTTGACGTGCACTGTTTCTAGGGGACTGACTAATCAAATGTTCAGCAAAGTGCTTAGATACAAAGCACTTGCTCTTGTGGCACTTGTCACACTGACTCATTACAACTTCATCATTATATTTTTACCAGAGCTGTAGGCATAATCCACTCGGGAACATTGCAATATGAAGCATAACTTATAATGAGACCCACTCACATCTGCGCCTCTACGTTGCAGAACTTTAAAGCCATTTCAGACAATACTATAGCTGCATTTCCTCTGCAGCATGTGATTGGCATTTCCTCCTGAAGGCTTTTTCTTTGACAGGAGGTCCTATTTAAAATGCATTACTGCACTTCAGTTAAGCACGGCAGATTGGCCCCACCAGACGAGTCCATAAAGCTACTATAGGCCCACATGCTAGCATAGCAGCATGGACGTTAGCTCATTATATTCACCTTAGATTTCTCTTCCCCTTCGCTCTGATCTTCTCCTTGTCTTTTCCAAACTGCCCTCCCACGCTTGCCCCCGCTAACGAGAGGCTAATCAGTCCTTTAATTAGCTTGATCAACTCATTTCACAACTCACTGTTCCTCAATGGGCCCATAGATTACACAGCAACAGGGCTAATGCAGAGGAGCCACAGGGCTAATGAGAATTGTTCTCCCTCAGTCAGTAGGGTTCAGATCTGTTTTCACAGTAACTCTGAACTCTTCTCCAACCGAAAGAAGCTTTCTCAGGGTGAAATTAATAATCTGCCCTAACCAACGCCGGAAAGATGGAGGACGGTGAAGAAAAGCCAGCTCATTTTTATGTCTCTTTTCATATGAAAGTGGACTTCGAGTTGACTTTATATTATTCTCTGAGCCGTTCTCTGACAGACGAGATGAGCTTTATTACTCCATCTCATATCCCTCCCAGGAGAGGCTTTCTCTGTCCCTAGCTGGATATTTGCCATCTGCAGCTGGCCCTGAGAGAGAAAGCTTGCAGACACAGCAGACCCAAAGATTAGTCATGGGAAAAGTCAGCGCTGGTATCTTGTCTTTTTTTTTTTTATTGGACCCCTCGCTTCCAACCTTTCAAATCAAATTTTCTCCCTAATTGTTTGATGCCTCAAGATCCTTTGAAGTTTCAGTCATTCGTTAGGGTTTCAGTAATATGAATATAAAACTTTTTTACCTTGCGAATCAAATTTGATATATTTTTTCCAATCTTATCATGGCTACTGTGTAGCTGCACGCTGAGTTCCTCAGGGGGCCCAATATGAAAATCACACATTAAATAGCGTGACCTTGCATCTGACGTTCTTCCACAGTTTTTCCACATCTGTCGGCTTACTTATAGCTCTCTCTTGAGGACCTGAAAGAATCTGCTATTGGAGGTTTAATGTGTATGGCCAGATTGGTATTTTAACCTTTGAACCTAGCAATTTTTTAGTTGTACCGGTTTGAACTGCAAATGTTCTTTGACCTCACGTCTGGTCAAGATAAGCTTAAATAACTGGGTAGAAGAGATTAGACAGTTTCAGGTTAGAGAACATACTTTCCCTCTTGGGGGTTGCTTGAAAAAAGGATAATGTAAGAGCTCACTTTATTCATTCCCTGAATAGAGTTTTACTATAATCTCCTTTCTTTCTGTCTATTTCTGTCACAGTTCCCCCATCGCCCATTGCTCCACCACAGCTGTTGAGAGCGGGTTCCACGTATTTGATTATTCAGCTAAACACCAACTCCATTCTGGGTGATGGCCCCATCATCCGGAGGGAAATTGAATATCGGGCCAGCCTAGCGCCTTGGTCGGAGATCCTTGGGGTTAACATGGTTACCTATAAGCTGTGGCACCTGGATCCAGACACGGAGTACCATATAAGTGTGCTGCTCACCCGGCCAGGCGAGGGTGGCACTGGGCCACCTGGACCTCCACTCATCAGCAGAACCAAGTGTGCAGGTGAGTGACTAGAGAAGTTCGATTACGAAGTCTATTCTAATGCAGAAGTTTTATATTTTAAGTTCTAAACTCTGCAAAGTTGTTGCTTAACACAAATATATAATTAGCCAATCACATGCAAGCAATTTAAAGCAGTTAAGCATGACATGGTCAAGACAATCTGATGAAGTTCAAACCAAGCATCAATATAGGCATGAAATGTGATGAGTAGCAATTATTGTGGGAGGTTTGTTACTGCCTGAAATCTCAGATCTACTGCCATTTTCATGCACAACACATCTTTAGTTATTACAGAGAATTATCAGAGAAATACATAATATCAAATCAGTGCTGTTCTCTGACTGAAAATGCTTTTTTGATGCTAGAGGTCAGAGGAGAAAGACTTGTTTAAGCTGAAAGAAAGGCGGCAGTAACTGAAATAACCACTCACAACAATGTCTGAAGAAGGTCATAGATGAACAAAAAACACATCCAACCCTGGACAGATGAACTACAGTGGCACAAGAAGAGCACAATTGTGCCTCTCATGTTAGCTAAAATGAAACTGAGGCTATGTTTACACAACAATGATGTAGCCATGAGAAGGACCAAAAATGCTATATTACTTATCCCATTTGCCGCTGCTAGCTTGTTAGTAAACAGTACATTTAGGGAAGAGACAATGTTCAGTTGGTGGCTTTACACTGATGTGTGTGTATAATTTGCTGTGTGTAAAATATGAGCAACAAACTCCTGAGCAACAGCAACACTACAACGCACCTTCAATTGTTGTGCATGTTTGTTTGCTTTTAATCTACATCTCCCTAGACACGTGCCATGCACGCGCACGTTATCATTTCAAATTCTCTCGTTTTCAGGGGTTTTCAGACATGACACACGCTGTCAAAAAACTTGCACCTTTTTCCCTGTTTTGGCTGAAATTTTGTCGTGTATACAGCCCCTAACCCAGCAGGCACAGAACGTCAACATGATGTCAGATTTTCATTGTACCCCAACGTAGTGGGATGTTGCATTTTGTTTGGAAATGAAAATCACAACCCAGGCTCATTCTGAAAACGTAGTCCTGCGGACATTTCTGGATACCGCGAATTATGTAGCCGGAGGTACATATGGCTGCATTTCATTGTTTTAAGCAAACGCTACGGGGCGGTGTGACGCTGTTCCCTTTTGTGCTTGCCGGCTGACCGCTTACCTCCATGTGGAGGGCTTTCCCGCCACAACCAGTTTGTCCGGTTAGCTCGTTGTGTACATTGGCGGACTTGAGACGCAAAGAGGAGCTGACCACGATGACGACCGGGTTCGAGTCTGGGGAAGAGCGGTTCCAGAAATGAGGTAAGACAAAAACAGATTACAAAAAGTAAAGTAAACAAGTTAATAACAGGCTGATAATGTGGTCAAATCCGAAAACGTGGTAAAAATCAGACGAGGGCTTTTCTTTTTCTGGAGGGCTTTTTTTTTTTTTTTATTGTTGGTTGGGTTTAGGGAAGTAAGCGGGGGGTGAGTCTATCGGTAAAACTGCTTGAGTTTAGGGAAAGAGGAGGAGGGTGGGTCAGCCGATTGGCCAGTCGCCCAGTAAATCATTCAGCCAGTCGGACTGGTAGTCAGTCGCCAGTGACCTTTTGTCGGTCTTGTGCAAAAACTGCACAAATGCGTACCTCCCAGGACGTATTTCGCAGTCTCCAGAAATGTCCACAAGACTACGTTTTCAGAATGAGCCTGGGTTGGAAAATCAGGTTGACGTCAGAACCAAACATCAATGTCCAATGTCCGACCTAAAATCAACCAAATATCAACATCTAATGATGTTACAGCTTGACTTGTGTGGACATTACCACTATGATGTCTATCAGACGTTGGATTTTGTTGCCACACCAGACGAATAAATGTCAGAATGGGAAATCAATATGACTTGGTTTAGGATGTTACTCGATGTTGAATTTTAGCTTGCATCTTTGCTTGTGTAGCCATCGAATCCGCACCACCTGTGTGATGCTAACATGTCATTATGGACCAATATCTCTGAGAAATGTTTCCAGAACCTTGATGTATCTACGTCATGAAGAATTATGGCATATATATATATATATATATATATATATCAATTTTGTGTGTCCTCCTGAATTATTGCAAGGGCATATCCCATTGATCAAAAGTCACAGTCAATACATTCATCATTCATAATCTTTCAAATGACTTCTGTTTTGACCAGTGGTGTGGGCACATCCAATTTTCATTAACTAAAAGCCAATGTATGTTGATCACTAACGAACACCATGCGGATTTGGTCTAGTGTATAATGTCAGTTCATAAAGCATATTCAAATATGTTTTTGAAAAAGCAGCTGATTAATTGGAATTAACATTTTTTGAACCGAAACGGCTGGCATCTCTCCTCTGGCGCCTTCTTGTGCCTGTCAAAACAAACAGCGAGGGGTTTGGTAATGCACGGTTCTACCTGCAAATGAGAGTCTCTGCCATGTCCAGCTGTTTCAGAACTGGAAAGGCTGTGATTAGGAAGATTGATCCTGTTTTTATCCCAGTGAAAACCAGAGCGAGAATGCAGGTTGAGGGTTCCGTCCTGACCTGGTCAACATGTTATTGGTCGCACCCTCTTCCAAACACACACATACTATCACTTAAATCACTGCCTGTCGTTTTTTTTTTCTTTTTCTTTTCTAAATGACACATCGCAATCATTCCCAGCTTGTTCCTGATGCCAGACACCTACCATTCATCAGCAAGCATCACGAAGAGAGGCAGCCAGGTGAAAAAATGGGAGAGCGGAAGAGCATGACAACACAGGCGGCTTTAGAATGACATAGCAGGGAGAAAAAGACATCAGCAGATAAGACGAGAGAAAGATTTGTCTGAGACTCGTTTTTGTCTTAAACAGCTTTTGTCTCCAAAAGAAAGGCGAAAAAAAAAAAAAAAACGAGGAGCAGACGTTGACGCTCAAAATTTCCCACTGTTTCCATTTCCTCTTTCACATTAAGTCTAGATTGAAATTCTTTAAATGGAGTATTTGCATCATATTCCCAGTGGTGCCTCGCTGCACATGAATATTGGGGCTGTTTAAGCTGCTGTCATATTTGCTGAACTGTTGAAGATGTAATTTTGACTCAATAGAAGCACATCAGTGGGATTGGACGTAAAATGAGGTTTTCCATACTCCGTTCATGCTCAAATCTCCTGTGTATTCTGCTGTCAACCGAAAAAGAAGTCAGAGATATAATTGAGTGCTTGGAGAAGTGTGCTAGTGGGAACGCCTTGTTGTGTCAGAGGCTATGAAGTTTTGATTTGTTTGACAGCGCTTGCTTGTACACGCGCATATGCTTGCATGATCATTGAGACGACTTATTAATCACGGTTGACAGGGGTTTAGCTTCTGAAGACATGTGGTTTGATATTCAGATTATGCTCCAGGGAGCTGTGTCACAATTTTTTAGGACTTATTGTGCTGCTAAGGGAAGGGAGAGACATAAATTTTGTTATGCCTTTCATATATGTTCATTGAAAGGAATAGTTCATGAGTGACAATTCTGACTTTTTCCATGTAGTAAAAGTAGATGGGTCAAACCCACGACTTTATCTCCTTTCTTTGCATTCTTCTCAAGATAGTCGTGACATGAGAATGAGCAAATTGTAATATAATTATTTCTTTTTGGATCTCATATTTTTCTGTTGAAGGTTGTCATGAAATCATAGTGAACATAGTGAAATCTAATCTTGTAATTTTATAACTTGACCTTGGGCCTTGACCTTAATGGTCTTTTTGTCAAACATTTTTAAATTAATTAAAATTGAAAACAATTTTTGTTGTTTTATATATTTGGTAAAATCATATTTTTTTATTAGATTCTTTGATGAATATGCTATGATATAACTTATCTAACGCTGCTGGATTTTATTTTTGAAATGCTATGAAACGTGGGAGATTATTTGCTTGTAGGGTGCAGTTCTCTCAGTTTAAGCTGCTTGTAGTATTAATTGTAGAAATTATTTAATTGTATTAAAAATATTGAGCCCTTCTCAGAAAACAAAGACCATCAATAATAACACATACATAAATAAATAAATAAATAAATAAATAAATAAATAAATAAATAAATAAATAAATAAATAAATGTGCACAATTTAAAGTAACAACCCACTTTTGGTGGAAAATAGGCTGGTTATAAGACTCGCCTAAAGTTAAAAAATTGAGTTTTACCATTTTTTAAATCCATTCAGCCAATCTCCAAGTCTGTTGGGAACACTTTTAGCTTAGCTTAGCATACATAATTAAACTGGATTAGACCATTAGCATCTCACTCAAAAACAGAAAAAGAAGAGTTTGACAGTTTTCCTATTTACATTATGTACTAAGACTTACCATTTATTATTTCACCCTCTTCAAATGTTATCACTCGATTAAATGGGTGTTAAGTTGGTGGTTCATTCCACTGTGGCTTTTAGGGACTAAGCCGAAAAGAAAATGAAAGAATGAATGAATGAATTAATGAATGAATGAATGAATGAATGAATGAATGGGTGTTTTCAGTGATTATCAGCTGATAGATATGGGCCAGAAGGGGTCTTCTGTGCCTCCTGGATGGCTCAGAAGACTGTTATCATCCATCCACATGGTTAATCAGCTGCACTAATAGAGAAGACTCCAGATCCAGATCTGTTTTTACATTACTGTGATGGTTGGGTTTAGCGTTGGCCTAGGGGTAGCCGTTAATAAAATACAATAAATAGGAAATTTAATACATTATATAAATAATGTTTGTTAACATCCAGCCACAGCCATATGTGATCTGTAGCTGATTAACCATGTGAATGGATGATAACAACCTTCTGATCCTACCAGTAGGCACAGAACCCCCTACTGGCCCAAATCTATCAGATGATAACCACTGATAACGGCCATTCAATCGAGTGATAACATTTAAACCGGCTGGTTATTATCTTGGCAAATATGTCTAGGAACTATACTGTCATTTTGGGATAATAATCAAGGAAATTTGCTGTCCTACCATGGCTACAACAGGCTCATTGATATTACACAGCGCTTGAAAATAGTCCCCAGCTATGTGTCTAGGAACCAGCATTGCATAATATCATTGCCTACTGCCATCACAGCCATGGTATGGCAGCAAAGTTCCTTGATCATTACGCTAGAATGACAGTATAGTTCCTAGACATATTGACCACATATTACAATGTATTAAGATTATATATATATATATATATATATATATTTTTTTTTTTTTTTTTTTTTTTAAGAGGACAATAGACTTTTCACATTTCCGGGTTACTCAGTAGTGGAAGTCGTCATAGTTGGAAAAACTTAGAGTGCAGTGAATGAAAGAATACAACAAATAGTTTTTTTTACAATATTATTTGCTCAAATAATAAAAGAAAAACTCCACAATATTGTTATTAAGACTTTCAGAAAAAGGAAAAAAAAATATGTGAGACTGATAACGGCTGAGAGAATAATGTCAAATTTGTTGTCCAATCCCACAGACACTGAATTAGAAACACCTCGCACAAGCGGTAATTTGTTTTTTTGTCATTTGGAGCAAAGATGATATAATACATACATAAATACATATAAATGTTAACAGGTTTTTTTAAATAAGAATATTAAAACTTGTAAGGATTTCATTTGCCAAACGCGTCATAACAATCTTGTGAAAAGGGTCCATGCTAAATGCAAGTGTTATCGGACATTCAATCAGATTGTGTTTGTATCTGACATGAGATTTGAAAAACCAAGTCGGTGCCAGTCTGATCAGGTGAAACCTCTTTAAATCTATCCAGATGTTCTGCTGGCCAGCAAACAAGCTTAAACTGTTTTCCTCTGAACTGTGATTTCTAGTTTTATTCCTCTCTGTGAGTTGAGGCACTTCCCTTTGTTTTTAGACTGGTGTGCTCAATGATTATAAAGCATCCGTAAACATCACAAACCCCCATCGGTCACATTTCATCCATAATCCATTTTTTTTCTAGCGTGTATAGTGTCAGCTCATCTGTCTTCATCCAGCAGGTGAATCCACCTACTGTATTACAAAGGTGACTGCAATCATCTTCTCCGGCTCCATATGAGCCACTCAAAATGGCCTCCATCCTGGGATGCCATTAACTCCTCTACACAGACTGACAATCCCTATTGATGGATCCCTTGCTGGCATCCAACAAGAACTTATTAGTTTATTTGTTTGTGTTTTGAGGTTTCCCTTGTAAGGTTCCTCTGCTCATTTTTGTTCACTACAAGAACTGTAGATACTTTCATGACCCTGGCTGACTTTACCCCAAAGAAATTGGAGGAAAGTGAAATGAATGATGAGATGACTGGGTTGTTTTTTGGCTGCAGCTGAAGATTGCATCCTGGTGCGCGGCTCTAGGTAGTGACCTACATAAAAATGATGAAAGCAGGCGCAGTCCTGTGGGCACAGCCAGGGAACTGGTGGACATTTCGCAGAACACGGCCAGGTGTGCTTGATGAGGCGTTGGTGTGATTAGGAGCAGGATCTGATGTGAAGGAATGTTCCTCAGAGGAGATAGAGATTTGGAAGCCGGAAAAGATGGAAGAATGGGACAAACATTGCACTTCTGCTACAGACTGGTTCACAGATGGACCTCCACCTGCTACTGGGTCTCTTTAGGTGTTCAGTGGAGTGAGCTATGCTCCGGACTGTGACGATTTAAAGGTGCAGTGCACACAAAAAGCTAGGTTGTTTTACTGTTCCTTATTTTTATTTCAGACCATGATTGAGTCTCTTTGCTTTTTAGTCATACTACAAACAAATAAAGATGTCTTGTGTTGTTTGGACTCAACAGACATTTACAATCATTCTTCTGTTGTTTGTGTTCTGCAAATATAAAAAAGGAAGTCAAAACTGCCCATTTGCTCATCGTCCCACTCCTGTTCTGTTCCAGAAATGTGTATGTCTTCTTTCTTGCGGGAAATAAGGTGATGTTTTGAACAATGTCCTGGTCTTTTCATGCAACAAAAGTAGATAGTGATCAGTGCCTGGCAAGACCCAAAAGCACAATAAGAGCACTATTATGTGCTATTTTCTGAATGGAGCTTTGTCTGACTAAAATTTAATGCAAAAGTAGGGCAAAATGTCTGTAAATAATGATTTAAATTTCGGTTCGTTCCTCAGATAACTTTGTGGTACATAGGAAGCCTTGGAATATCTTGCAGGAATCACATAGATGAGTTTATTACTTTTGTTGTACTGTTTATTACCTTTTGAAGCTTGACAGAGGCTGGCCACTACCATTCATACATCTGAAATAACTGCGCAACTGTGAAAAATAAAAATAACAGCATGACCTAAGAAAACTATTCAAAAACATTGTATGCTTTCGTCAAAAATATCAAACTCCACAACTGTTTCTTGAGTAGCAAATCAACAATTCTAAAGGATCATTCTGCTGGAGACTAAAGAAATAGCTGCTTTCCTTCAAAGCATGCATTTATTTTGTAAAGTAAGTAGAATAAAATTGGTTGTTTAGAAATTGAGTAATGCTTTATAACATTGTAAGGCTAGGTAAATGATTTTAGAGTGAACTCTCATATCGCTTAGTATATTAGTAGCATGCAAATTTGCAGATACAAATGCACCCATGTACAGTTGAAGTCAGGATTGTTAACCCCCCTGAATTATTAGCCCCACTGTTTATTTTTCCACTAGTTTCTGTTTAATGGAGAGAAGATTTTTTTGAACACATTTCTAAACATAATCATTCTAATAACTCATTTCTAACAGCTGAATTATTTTATCTTTGCCATGATGATACTAAGTAATATTTGACTTGATATTTTTCAAGACACTTCTATACAGCTTAAAGTGACATTTTAAGGCTTAACTTGGTTATTAAGTTAACTAAGCAGGTTAGGGTAATTAGGCAAGTTATTGTATAACAATGGTTTGTTCTGTAGACAGTCAAAAACAATGAGGCTTAATGGGCCTAATAATTTTGACGGTAATTGTTTTTTAAAAATTTAATAACTTCTTTTTTATAGCCAAAATTAAACAAATAAGACTTTAATAAGACTCCAGAAGAAAAAAAAAATGTTTTCAGACTTCCTCTGTTAAACCTAATTTGGGAAATATTTAAAAAAGTAAGAAAAATCAAAGAGGGGCTAATCATTTTGACTTCAACTGTACACTTGATTAAGCCCACTCTCGTCCATCTCAATGTAAACCATTTTACCCCAAACAGCACAGAACCATGTTTCCCATCCTTTTTCCTTTTGCAAACCAACGACCAGAACTTCACGCCATTAGTTCGCAGTATAACCAGAAATTAGCTTAGTTCTCCCCAGACTACCTCATGTATCAGCATTATCTAGAGTAATGGGACAGAAACTGGTCTTGTTTGGATTTCCAGCTGCCCATGAGGAATTGACATGCTGCCCCAGGCCTCTGGCTGCTCTCTCTGGGTTTGGTCCCATCTCAGATGGGTGCCAAGGAAGGCGCTCGAAGCGCTGCTCTTGGCATCCAGACAAAGCCTTCGAACTAGGTTAAGGGAAGTGGAGTGGCACAAAAAGCCCTATTGAGCTCCTCAAAGAGCACAGTGTAGATGCTTGGATTGTTTTTAAAGATGGCACAAGCCAACAGCATCCCATTCGTTTGCTTTTAACTAACAATCAATAGTTCCATTAAGACTATCAACACACTATTTTGGTTGCATTTCCTGTAGAAGCAAATGGGACCTTTAGACGTTCAGTGTATATTTTTGGAAAGTAATATCTATCATACCTGTCATTTTCAGGTCGGCTAAGTGCTTCTCTTGATAAGAAACCCAATCCCACTGGAAGTTAATCTAAATGTAAATCTACAAATGAAACGAGATGTAAATCTAAATATAGACCTTAAAGAATGTGTGGCAAAAGCTCTCTGATGTGTGAGATATTTCAGGATTAACGGAGCTTAATGTTACAAGTGCGATTCTGCAGGAGAACTGCTGAATTAGTATTCTGTGATCCGTGTGTTTTCTCCCCGGAAGACTTCAAGAGGAAATGCATTTCCTCTAATTCAGCCCTGCTGTCCTTACGGTCTCGGTGCATTAGCTACCTCAGCTTACCTTCACTAGTGAACCTAATTCTTAGGTGCACATCGTCTGACAACCGGTTTAAGAGAAACAATAAAGACCTTGAGCCGTGACCTCATACTTATCACAGGAAGTGCTCACTTCAAATCCCCTTTGTTGTACCTTCACACTTGGGCCCATTAGTCACCAGGCCCCATTAAAAGAACAAAGAAATACAATACATTATGTGGAGACCTATTTGACAAAAATGCATTGATTGTCTTAATAATGGACCGTGACAAATGCGCTCATTGATAGTGGGGCTAGATGTCCTTGGTTCACCCTCCCTGCTGCCTCCCTGCGAGAAACACTAGGTTTCCTGTGTGCCCTACAGACAGTGGCTTCTTTATGTCACATGCGCCAGAGGTGGTCGCTGATCTTTCTGCCCCCGGTAAATAAGAAAGTACGTACACAGATGTGAGGTATGCCAGAAATAGTTGGCCTAATGCAGCGACCTTGCACTAATGCTAACTGGCAGAACTGAATGTCCTTGAAAAGGGCTTGTGGCTCCTGGACGAGGTGGCGGCAGATACTCGATTTGCTTAGCGGCAAATGGCAGGAGGGAGAGTACAACACGCAGCCTGTGGAATTAATTAACGTAATTTGGCAAGAACTGTGTCCTCATTAGCAGGTGGTCTGACAACCTTTTTGACCGTGGTGGCGCCTCCTACCTTTGTTGGGTGGGGTAGGCGAGAAGTCTTGTGACCTGGTGATGTCCCAGCGCAGATTCCCTGCATTTTTGGCTTATGTTAACAAAATGTTTCTCCATTTTCCATTCCAACAGAGCCCATGCGGGCGCTGCGTGGACTCAGAGCCTCGGAGATCCAGTCGCGGCAGCTGACCTTGCAGTGGGAGGTGCCGGCCTTCAACCTGACCCGCTGCCACACGTACTCCGTCTCATTGTGCTACCGCTACACGACTGCAGGGGGCGGCGGTGGGCACAACACCACGGTCAGAGAATGCCTGGCTGTGGAGCACAACACTTCGCGCTTCACCCTCAGAGATCTGCCTCCTTTTCACACCATCCAAATACGCCTGGCACTCGCCAACACCGAGGGCAAGAAGGAAGGGAAGGAGGTCATGTTTCAGACTGAGGAGGACAGTGAGTAGCAGAGCTTTCAATAAATATTAATATGTCTGGCTGATTTGTTGTGTTTCTGATGCAGCAGTGTCTGGGTTTCATGACTGTTGTTGAAGAGGAGATATTTTATTAATGACAGTCCTATAATGTATAGGACTGTAAAACAAAATGTGTTCATACTACTAATTAGTTGGTCAAAACTGTTGTTTTTTTTTACAGTATTTACAAAGTCTCACACATTTATTTGCTCAAATAATCAGTAAAGCGAAACCAGGCCCATGGCCTCTTATCACATTTCCAGGTTTCTCCTCACAACAAGAAGGTCACTAGTTCGCCTTGTGTTTCCCTCATAGTGGTAAAGAAAGACATGTGGTATGGGTAAATTATGTAAACTAAATTAACTGAAGTGTGTGAGAATGAGACGGGTGTTTCCCAGTGCTTGGTTGCGGATGAAAGAGCATTCACAGCATAAATCATGTGTCAGAGTAATTGGTGGTCTATTCCACTGTGGTGACTCCTTATAAATCAGGGACTAAACCAAAATATAGTGAGGGAGTAAAGATGAAATAACCCAAAGTCTAGCTTTATAAATGTACTTAATAAATAAATAAATAAATAAATAAATAAATAAATAGAGGATTTAAGAAGCTAATGACCTTTAAACACAACATCATTATCTTGCGAAAAGGGTCAATTTTGCTGTAAATCAGGGGTCACCAATCTCGGTCCTGGAGGGCCGGTGTCCCTTCAGGGTTTAGCTCCAACTTGCCTCAACACACCTGCCTGGGTGTTTTAAGTATACCTAGTAAGAGCTTGATTAGCTTGTTCAGGTGTGTTTGATTAGGGTTGGAGCTAAAATCTGCAGGACACCGGCCCTCCAGGAACAAGTTTGGTGACCACTGCTGTAAATAATCAGGCATTTTCCAGTTTATGCAAACTTTTTGTCACATTTTTTATTAAAATGGATCAATTGGATTGATGGACAGATGGAAATATGAAAAGATTAAAAATGAATGGATGGATGTACTGATAGATGGAAAGAGATACTAACCGGCCACTTTATTAGGTACATCTGTCCAACTGCTTGTTAATGCAAATTTCTAATCAGCCAATCACATGGCAGCAACTCAATGAGTTTAAATATGTCAAGATGGTCAAGTTGATCTGCTGCAGTTCAAACCGAGTGTCAGAATGGGGAAGAAAGGTGATTTAGGTGACTTTGAACGTGGCATGGTTGTTGGTACCAGACGGGCTGGTCTGAGTATTTTAAGAACAGGAAATTCTCATCATGGATGTGCAGCCAACAAATCTGCAGCAACTGCATGATGCTATCATGTCAATATGGACCAAAATCTCTGAGGAATATTTCCTGTACCTTGTAGTCTTTGCCAAGTCAAAAGGGGGTCCAACTCAACTCTACTACTAGTAAGGTGTACCTAATAAAGTGGCAGATGAGTATGGATGGATGGATGAAGTGAAGGACCAAATTACATTTCCCAGGTCACAGGTGTCAAATCTAGTTCCCTGAGGGCCACAGCTCTGCACAGTTTAGTTCCAACCCTGCTTTAACACACTTACCTGTAGGTTTCAAACAAGCCTGTATACCTCAATTAGTTTGATCAGGTGTGTTTAATTAGGGTTAGAGCTAAACTGTGCAGAACTGCAGCGGATTTGACACCTATCTATCAATTTATAGATAGACTGATGGATAAACTTAGTCTGCCAGACATTTGTTTACATTATTAAGAGATAGAGGGAAAGATTAAACAAAAATTGTAAAGTTTTTTTTTTTGATTATGCCCTTGCAGTATTGACAGTACTGTTTTGGTGTCCTCTGAATAAGAATCTTTCACTTTGAACTGTTCAGCATCACAGTCATAAATACATAGAGACTTTTCCAAATGGATTTAAAATTAATGTTTAATCATTCTCTCTGGGGAGCTGTGCATGAACGGGTCAGAGGAGGTTTTTATATCATTTTATGTGCTGGATCCAACCAGCACTGGCTGCAAAAAGTAAATATATAATAATAATAATAATAATAATAATTTTCTGTAAAAAAAAAAAATTCAAACACATGTGTTTCATCCAGACAGGAAGTATGATGAAGTGAGAGAGAAAAAGAGAAGGAGGAAAGATAGCGCTCAATTATCAACGCTCCTCTGAAGCTTCAATCAGCAATTCTTTTCTTTCATGGCCTGTCACAGGAAAAACTGATGCAGTCAGCGATTTTGACTCAATCTGAGCGAACGTGTTATTTTCGCCACCGGCTATCTCTGCCTCACCAACTATCACCCCAGCGCACACACGCTGTGCACATACCCGAGGGCTAACAAGGATGGCTCAGTGACAGAGCACAAATGGCTGTAAAAACATCTGCTGATGTGTTACTTCTGCAGTGTGCGAGAGCTCAGAGCATCATCTGTCTCTCTAGCGCCGTTTCGACTTCCTCCCCATTCTTTCTGCCAGCGCTTATGTCTGTTAATGAACTCGTGTTGATATAAATCAGCCAAAAAAAGCCATGTCATCAACTGCAAGTGTTGCCCTTTCTTTCCGTCACACGGGCTTTGTGTCTCCTGCTGAGAAGTCCAGCTTAGACCAGCATGAATTTCCACGCTGCTCCAGGCTGGTCAGATCTGCTTTCATGCTGCTCTGCCTGATTGATCAGCGTTAACTCTGCTGTTCATTTGCAAACTTAAATGAATAAGCTAATTACGCAGCGTGGCTTTTCTGGAGAATCAGGTTAAGCTAGTTAAATAGAAGTGTTAAGAGTGGATAATTTGTCCTTTTCAAAACTATAATGCTTTACATAATTACTAAATAATTCACGCTGTTCTTTTCTATATATTGAAAGGTTGTCGAGATCAAAAAGGACATAAAAGTCCTTTCTATAACTTATAAAAAAACTTTTTTTTTTAAATATAAAGGCAGTTATATATGACTCATATACTCTCAAGTGTTCTGAAGCCATTTTGACGTCTTCTTCTAAAGAAAATACCAAAATTGAGCTGATAATTGGTATTATAGCTCTCAAATTTAAAGAACTTAGTTCTTTCGTAACCAGTCATAGCAATCTGAATATGCTGAAATGCTAATAAAACTTTGGAGCTGCGGTTCAGGGCAAAACTTTCTGTTTTTGATGAAATCATGCAAAGCCAATATACTGTATGTTATGTGAACACGTGTTATTCAACTGAATTTGTGAAAATAATGCTATATAATTACAAATGCTACTTTATATCACACATACCAGGCCAATAGATGGTAATTTCCCTTATTAACACGCTCCTGTACACATACAGTCCTGTAACACCTGATTTTGTTGACAAGTACTAGCATATTGTAACTGAAGAGATACTGGACAATGTAGTTGAGGATCCAAATGCAGTATTTAATACACAAGGAATGGTCAGGCCAATTCGACACTGTGTTGGGATCCCAAAGTGCAAGTGTTCCTGAGAAACCAGAGCACCCGGTGGAAACCCACGCGAACACAGGGAGAACATGCAAACTTCACACAGAGCCAACTGGACCAGCCGAGGCTCAAACCAGCGACCTCCTTGCTATGAGGCGATCATGCTACCCACTGCACCACTGTGACGCCCGTCACGTAGCTAAAGCGATACAAAGCATCGGTCATTTCAGAAGCGTTTTAAGAACTGTCAAATCTCCTTTTGACTGACAGGGTTGGAAAAAACTCATGTATGGATGTAGCTCATGTAGCCTAGTGGACTATGAGTGTGCAGAGTGACTGTGCTGCCAATGGCCCGAGTTCAAATCCTGACTTATACAAACACACTTAAATTATATCTTTATGTATTTTATTAATTTTACTTTTTATGACTAAAATTAGACATATTAATTCACAGCATTTGTTCGAATGTCAGACCAATGTTAAATCAAAGCACAATACAGGAACAGAGCATTTAACTAACATCTTAAGCTGCATCACCCTGGATTCGAACCCATTATCTCGGCATGCTGGTCTGGAACTCTCACCGGTTCACTAACTCACTTGAAGCCTCAACTCTACAACGTGGGGTATAATTCCTTATGCCTAGTTCAGACTGCGTGATTTTAGCCCCGATTTTGGCTCGCCGACAGGTTTTGAGAAATCGCCGACAAATGCCTGAAATCACAGGCAAATCGCTGCTCGTGCACGTGAGTGACAATCACACAGTATGAACTATCAAAGACGCAATCTGAGAGAATCGCCGATGAGTCGCCGATGCCTGCGAGATATTTGGAGTTATAAATATCTGGAGCTGTCGGCGATTCAAATCATGCCGTGTGAATTGAGTTTTGACTGAAAATAACATCAGCCATCGCCTACAGCCAATGAGAGAGCAGCTTTCACTTGTGTGTGTGTATACCTGCTGCAGGCCAGCGGGACGCTGGGGGAGAAGGTAAAAGCGCTCTTTTTCGGTTTATTTGGACCCACGAAATGGAGGAAAAACTAGTGGAGGTTTGACAGGACTCAGAAGAAACCATGTCTGTTTGACATTTCATACAGAAAGAAATTAGTTTATCATCAACGTTGAGGAGAAATGGCTAATTCCCTTTAAACCCAGGTGAGCAAACATGTACATGTTCTACCCCATTAAAGGCTTCTTTCTCATTATGGGGTTGATAACAAAAGATATACTACATGTTTTTGGCTGTGAGACGTAGTTTGGACGAAGTTGTCGGCGATTCTCCCTATAGAAAAGTCATGCAATGTGAATGTCCATGTCGCCGAACCATCTTGCAGTGTAAACAAAGCAGCGACGAAACGCTAGCCCAGATAGTCATGCAGTGTGAAAACATCTGTGACAAGACTAGTTTGAAAATCATGCAGTCTGAACTCGGCATTAGTTTTCCTGAACTGTTTCTTTGCGGAAGCTCTTCCAGAGCAATACATAAAAAAATGACCACAGGATGTCATTGTAGAGACGCGTTTCGAAACATTTCGAAGCCTCTTTGCCCACTGCTAGCGAAAGGTCAGAAAAGGCAGGAAAACAATTGAATTCATGTTTATTTTTATAAAACTTTTACAATGTAGATCAAAGCTGCTTAACACAGAAGTTCTAGTAAATTAAAACTGTCAGTCCAGTTTTCAGAGTTAAAGTTCAGTTTAGTTCAGTTTAGTGTGATTAAATTTCACTGCTGAAAGTCCAAACACTGAAGAGCAAATCCATCGATGCGCTGCTTCACAAATCCCTAACCAAGCAAGCCAGTGGCGAGAACCAAAATTCACCAATTGACGAAAACAATAAAAGAAGGCAAAGGGTCTAACACAGACATAAACAAAGAAACACTTTGTGGTATTACAGACTAACAAAACTCAGCAAACTGTGTGTGTGTATGTGTATGTGTGTGTGTGTGTGTGTGTGTGTACACATACCTAAAAGGCCCATATTATTACCTTAATGGTAAATAATAATGCCTAAAATGTACAAAAGTGATCCTCCTAAAATTTTAGGTACTAATATATACTAGTGAGGTACCAATATGGACCCTTCATGTACAAATGTGTTCCCTTTGAAAAGGTACCACCCCAGTGACAGCTTGTGTTCCTTTATTTCTGAGAATGTGTGCTGTGTATATAGTCCTCGTAATAAGTTAGAATAATCTTCACCTGTGTGAGTGTTTGTTTCAGTCCAGATAGTTTGCAGCCGTAGCAGGTGTTGATTGACACGAAGCATCATGGTAGTTGTAGTTTGGTTCAGGAGTAGAATTCGGCATATGCTAGATCGCTAGTGATCGTGACACATATGCTTAGACACATAATTTCCTGAACACATAATTTACTTGCACATAAAATATGAATTTTTTAAGTCTTTTTTTTTTTTAAATGAGCATTTTCTAACCCTTTTTAAAAGTCCCAAAAATGCATGATTTAAATGTGTGATTGAAAACTTGGATGTGTAAAGGTACCTTTAGGTTGAGCTACTGTACCAGAAAATGGAAAATTGATGGCAGAATTTTATTTTTTAAGTGAACTGTCCTTTTAAGCAGCCTGACAGTTAAACAAACAAACCGGCATTAAAAAGACTAGATAAGCTATCATTTCTGTGTTTGATCAAAACAAAAGATCAGGAATGTCTCCAGAAATATATATCTCTGCCTTTTCCCCCCTGTAGCTCAAAGGTTCCATATCACATATCTAAATGACTTTACAACACTACTGAATCACTTGCATTATTATAATGGATGAGACTCTGTGATACATTCATAGCATAAGAAGCCTTTTCAAGACTTTTATAATGACAACGGCTGTAATGAGGATATTAAAGTTGACCTTTGGGGGACTTTAAGCGATTAACCCTCTCACTTTGAGTAAATGCTTGAGAAATTAGCAGTTTGGAGTGTAGAATCTGTCTGTATCTTCATTCATAACCAGTGGCTTTTCCCCTTAGTTCCTGGTGGAATTGCTCCAGAGTCTCTTACCTTTACGCCTCTAGAGGATATGATCTTCCTGAAGTGGGAGGAACCGGTGGAACCCAACGGGCTCATCACACAGTATGAGGTATGTACTTTTCTTACTTTTTACCACGTTCATATCAATTTCTCTCCCGCTGTCTGAAACCTCGTGAGATTTGCTCTGACATGTCAGCATTTTTACCAGGTGAAATATCGATGAACCACAATGCTTGAAAGACAAAACTTCCCACTGTGTGTTAAAATTGGACTGCCAGCTTAAATTATTTATGAACGTGCCGCAAACATATGATCCCCTGCATGCATGTGCCCACAGACCCTGACTGACAGCGTGCTGCATTAGTAAGACCTTGGAATGCGAGTGTTTTCCGGCTCGAAGTTTCAGTCTAGTAAGCCTAGAAATGCTGAGTTGTTGTTGTTCTTCCTCCTCCACTCAGTCAGTGGCAGACAGAAGTATACATGAAGTCATGATTTGGTCCTGGAACTCTGCATGCTGCCAGAGACACAAGAGCCACCAAGGCCAACCCTGCCTCTAATTGGTCCCTACTGCACCAGCCATCTGTTAGTAAAAGACAGAAGGATGTCTCTATCTAAAGTTATGCACCATCTCCTACACTTTTCTGCCGTTTTAAAATTTCGCCTTTTTTTTTATTGTTGCCGTGACGTCATTGAAGAACAGCTCTATGAACCTGTGTTATTCTTCAGGCGCCTGGGATTAATTGCTTTGCTCGAGGACACAGTAATAATTGCTCATGGCTCAGTTCTCCAGGGGATTGAATCAGCAACCCTCTAGTCCTGTGCCTTAACCAACACAAGACTATTTTTATGCATTTGGCTGCTGAACTTCTTTATCTATCTATCTATCTATCTATCTATCTATCTATCTATCTATCTATCTATCTATCTATCTATCTATCTATCTATCTATCTATCTATCTATCTGTCTGTCTGTCTGTCTGTCTGTCTGTCTGTCTGTCTGTCTGTCTGTCTGTCTGTCTGTCTGTCTGTCTGTCTGTCTGTCTGTCTGTCTGTCTGTCTGTCTGTCTGTCTGTCCGTCCGTCCGTCCGTCCGTCCGTCCGTCCGTCCGTCCGTCCGTCCGTCCGTCTATCATTTGATTAATATCTGTTTGTCATTTCCTATATCTTTCTATATTTAGATTTTTTTTCTGGCTGTTTTTTTCTTCTGTCTAGTTCTAGGTCTGTTCATCATTCTAACTTTCTGTCTGTCTATCTATTTCTTTCATTGCTGTCTTTTCCTTTTTGTCTATCTGTTTTTTTTTGTCTGTATGTCAGTTTTTTTATATATTTATTTATTTAATTATTTTTTTTTTTTACAGTTTTCTCAGTGGCTTTGGTGCATTTCTCACAACACTATTTACATTTGCACAACAGTTCATGCATTTCTCGAAACAATTAGTACAAACTGCAAAACCTACCTCAATAACCTGCAAAAGTGTGTCACTTGCTCAAAATTGATAGCTCATTCCTCAAAAGCAAGTATTGATGTCAATGAAAGTGTCAGTGTCATCAAGATGAAAAGTCCTGGAAGCATTGTTTATGAACAAGATAGTCAAATGGCTTTGTCATGTTTTCATTTTGACAGTTTACTCTGTACATGTTTATCAATGCAAAAAAAGTCAGATTTTGTTGAAACTTCCTGACAGTGCTCAAGACAGCACTATATACTATTTGCACAGTCATTTGAAAACTACAGTAAAGTTAGACATCAATGCATTTAGTGTGGTATCTAAATACAAGAGTACAAGACACTGAATATGTATGTTTCACATTTTTACTGCATTTGCTCTTTGCAATTCTAATTTATTCATAGCATTTTGCAAAAGAATAAATATACCTTTATTTACAACAAACATAACATTCCTTTGGGTAGAGCTGTGCACAACTGTAAACAATATTGTAGTACATATTAGAACTGAACCTACAATATACACAGGTCTGTTAATCATTCATGAAATTGTTCAATTTAGAAGACATTTTCAGAAAAAAAGATTAATTTTTTTGTATAAATTAGCTCGACAGATTTTGACAACTAGCTCAACATTTTTGTATGTAATGACTCAAGTAATGAAATTAGGACTGATAGTTTTATATGGAATGACTATTCAGCATTCACAAGTTTAGTTCATTTTGACTGACATGACATAAGCCAATAATAATTTTATAAACATCAGAAAGTTGTATGAAAGCAATTGATGAATGTTTAAAAGCATTTGCAATTTGTTGGAAGGAATGAGAAACTGCTGCTTTGATGTGCACAAATGACTACGTGTTTTGAGAAATGCATTAACTGTTGTGCAAATGTAAATAGTGTTGGCTATAGTATGGCTACTGCGTCTATATATCTACCTCTTTCTTTCTCTCATTTGTTTCTTGGCTTTTTAGTCTATCTGTCTGAAAGTATACGGTTCTGTCTTTCTGCCATGGCCAGTTTTCATCTATCTTTAGTTTTATTTTATTTTTTATCATACGTTTTCTATTTGTAGTTTCTCTGTCTGCCTGCCATTCTCTCTTTTTGCCCCATATCTTTAGTTTTCTCTGTTTATCTGTCTTTATGCCCATTTGTCCTTTCATGCATTCATATCTATGTCTGTTTAATTAAGGCAAATCTCAAATATGACATTAATACAACAAAATTAGTTTTTTTTGTTCTTTTTCTTATTGGATCTAACATTTTTTTAGCAGTGACTACCAAAAAATAACGCTGCCTAAATGTACTTCCAGTACGAATAAATCAGAGCTGCGGCAAATTGAAAGTTTACATCTTTGTCCCAAAACGATGGATATAGCTAACAGTCTAATAAAAGCTTTTAAACTGTTTCTTCATTCTTCCGTTCACTGCACACAGATTCGCCCTGTTCAATGGAAAGGTGGCGGGCCTCCCACAGCCAGCATCTGTCTCTCTGTTCCTCTGTTCCAGAACATTCTCACATTCTTTCTCTCTCTCTTTCTCTTTCTCTCTCTCTCTCTCTCTCTGGTAACACTGCCTGCCTCAGTGTCACCTTTCTCCTCGCCCATGATTCAGGCTCTCAGTCAGTCACTAAAAAGTTGTGAGAACGCTGCTCCTGTCACGCTCCAAAACCCCCATCTCACCTCAAGAGGAAAAGTCACTTTTGTTTGTGGATCCGTCATTCAGCTCCACAATGGCCCGAATTAAGATCATCGCGTTTTTTTTTGAATGCCATCTCTGTCCATCATGAACATCATCTTTTAACATTTGCACTTAGCGAGTTATCTCTTGCTGATAACTTGTGTTGCTTTTTCTGCACGGGCAATGGCTACCAAAGTCACCCCAAGGATGTTTTCTAAAGGGGATTTAAAGGCTTGACCTATAAAGAGGAGGCAAGGACAGATTTTCAGGCTCAAGCAGCCTGATCTTCTCTGCCATACAAAGAGATGAAGGGAGAAAGAATAAGGGAAAGGCAGAGCCTGAAGAATTTGCTCTCGTTTCTCTCAGATTAGCACATTGTCCACTTTTCTGTGAACACTGCCAACAAAAGGCTCACAGGACCACTGCATTCCCCACAAACCCTCTCACAGTGCTAGCATCGATGCCTGTTTTCTTAAAAGAAGCTGCATATATGTGTAAAAAGTTTTCCTAAATTCCTAAAACACAACTAAGTATCTAATGCTTTACAAAAATGTGGTCAGAAACTTGGTCAAGCACAATATTTTCTCTATATATCATTTTAGCGATGCATCATTCTGTATTTTTGTCTATTCATCCATCCATCTATCCATCCATCCATCCATAAATCCATCAATCCATCTTCTCATTCATAATTTATCTATAATTTATCCATCCATTCATCCATCAATCCATCCACTCATCCGCCCATCCATCCTTCATCCATCCATCCATCCATCCATCCATCCATCCATCCATCCATCCATCCATCCATCCATAAATCCATCCATTCATCCATCCATCAATTTATTCATCCATCCATCCATCCATCCATCCATCCATCCATTAATCCATCCTCTCATTCATAATTTATCTATAAATTATTCATCCATTCATCCATCAATCCATCCACTCATCCGCCCATCCATCCATCCATCCATCCATCCATCCATCCATCCATCCATCCATCAATTTATCAATCCATCCATTCCATCCATCCATCCATCCATCCATCCATCCATCCATCCATCCATCCATCCATCCATCAACTCATTCATGATTCGTTTAGAATCCATCCATCCATTCATTTATCCATCCATCCATCCATCCATCCATCCATCCATCCATCCATCCATCCATCCATCCATCCATCCATCCATCTATACATCTATCCATCCATCCATCCATCCATCCATCCATCCATCCATCCATCATCTGTCTTGTCTGTCTGTCTGTCTGTCTGTCTGTCCGTCCGTCCGTCAGTCAGTCCGTCCGTCCATCCATCCATCCATCCATCCATCCATCCATCCATTCATCCATCCATCCATCCATCTATCTATCCATCCATACATATACAGTACTGTATCTATTTGCACTTAGGTTTTATTGTTCTGCCTGTTGTACATTTGTTCTATGTATATCATTCTGTCTAACATTTTAATAAAGTTGTAAAACCAAAAACTTCAACTAATGAATTGCTCAGTGGAATTTGAGAATGATTTAAAAAGCGAACTGAAAACAAAATGTATGTTGGAAATAGAGGGGCATGAGATAATAATTTATTTCTAAATTAAGAACAACAGTGTGCAGATTTTTTTTTGTATTATGTGAATTAAAAAAACCTTTTTTACAAATTAAAATGCTTAATCAAGTACAGTTACTTAAAATGCTTGTAAACATTGTACCGAAGTAAACAGTGGCTAAGATTATTCTATTAAAATGCTTTTTAAGCATATGCAAATATTATAACCTTGACTAACTTTGGTTGTTGACAAAAACGCTCTATAGTTTTTTTATTCTTTATTTCTATAGCACTTTTTATAATGTATGTTGTCTCAAAGCAGCTTAACATAGATGACTAGTAAGTGATTTGAAGTAAATTAATACTGCTTCAGTCCAGTTTTTCTCTTGAGAAAATCTTGTTTTGTTGTAAATGATAAGGCAATTTTCATTTCTGTGTGAACTATACCTTTAATGACATTTGTTTGAATTGAACCAAAGCTTTAAGCTTTATGTAGTGGCAAACAAGAGAATAACAGTGCAGTGTGTCAGTCCTTAAATAATCATACCAGTAATGAATGTTTCTTTTTTTTGTTGTTGCTGCAAGTCTATAGTGTAATATTCCCACTAGCTTCACATTGGAAATTCTGAGTAGGCAAGCACACATTGTTTATACAATAAGTGTTTGATTTCATATATGAATCATTTTCAACCCACTCTACATAAGGATGGCAGGGTTAGCAAACTTTTTAAAAAGCATTGTTTGATCTGAGCGACCACACACTGAGTCATAGCATGTTTAGTTCCAAAACAGCAGTGATTTAATGAAAATATGAATCATGGCGTTTAATATGTGCAATTACAGATCAGCTACCAGAGCATTGAATCATCAGACCCCGGGATCAATGTTCCAGGCCCGAGGCGCACTGTATCCAAGCTGAAGAACGAGACGTACCATATGTTCTCCAACCTGCATCCTGGCACCACCTATCTGATTTCAGTTCGGGCGCGCACCGCCAAAGGCTTTGGCCAAACAGCTCTCACTGAGATCACCACCAACATCTCTGGTGAGGAGTGTCTTCATTTGGTTTTTGGGGAGTGAATATGTTTAGATGCAAATATGTTTTTTTAAACAGAGCACTTACATGGCAGTTTTCACCTATCAGCTGTCCATTATTCAGAATGAATCAATTGGGTGAAGTGTTTTTTGACCATATTTCAGGTACACTAGTTTTTGTGAAACCTATTTGAGTTCTATCCAACTAAAATCGCTTGATGTTTGCAAATTGTGAATGCAAAATGAGTATTTGGCAACACACTTTACAATACGATCGTATTAGTAAATGCTAGTTAATGTATTTACTAACATGAACAAACAATGAACTAAACATTGTGGTATTCATTCATGTTTGTTCAAATGAGTTAATGGAAATAAAGTAATTCATGCTTAATTTGTTAACTCACAGTGTATTAACTAATGTTAACAAGGATGGATTTAGATGTTAATATTGCATAAATATATTTCACACTAAATTAATAAATGCTGTACAAGTATTATTCGTTATTAGTTCAATATATTAACTAATAAAACCTTATTGTAAGGTTTGGTTGAGTGTTTTAATGTTAACATATTACTTAAAGGGTTAGTTTACCCCTAAATAAAATGCTGTCATCATACTTATGTCATTACAAATGTATAAAATCATTAATGACATCTGACCTCTCATTAAGATTCTGTTCATCCAAAACTGGGAAAAAAATGCTGGGTTACACACAATTGATTTGTGTTTGGACAGCATGAAGCAATTAAGTTAATTCATTAGTTTTTACAAATTTAAGTGGATTGAACATAAAACAATTAAGTAGACATGAACAAATGGAGGTGTAAAAGGGCAGAGAAAGCCCAGACAGCAGTAGTTATTTAGCATTCCTCTGCCTTTTGTCAGTGTAAATTAATATTAGCTGCTTCAGTCACCACCAGGGTGGACATTTCAGCAAGACAATGATTTGAAACGCAGCTAAGGAAACTCTCAAATGCTTTCAGAGAAAGAAAATCAAGCTGTAGAATGGCCCAGCCAATCACCTGACTCGAATCCAATAGAAGTACAAATTAAACCCACAGAACCATCAAGATTTTTGCGCTCTGTTGAGGTCTGTGAAAAATTCGCACCTAAGCAATGCATGTTACTTCATTCTCCATATGAAAGACTGCCATCACTGAAAAAGCTTTTTATATAAAGTAATAAATGTTTCAATACATTCAATACATCATCCTTGTGTCATTCCATTGTTATTACACAACTAATGTTTAGGTTTTTGTTTGTTTGTGTTGCTTATTTTTGTTAGTATTGTCTGGGTTTTTACCTGAATTTGGTTCAAATCCATGTCAACAGCTTCGTTAGAAACATTATTCCCAGGAAAAAAGCATGTTCAATACTTATTTTCTCTGGTGTATGTTGTCCCCCAAAAATTCTCAAGGATTGTGTTGTTTCAGCTAATTTTAACTAGCAGCAAAATATGCTTTTTTGAGTGTATGTCAACATCAAATCTGCTCATCAAATCATTCGAAGACATGAACATTCGTCTGAATTTATTGCTTTATTTTTATGATTATTTTGATGAAACAGAGCTTTGCTTGAATAGATTTTCAGTGACTTTCATTTTGTTAGATTTGATTAAAAATAAATTCATTTATATTCCAAAGATGATCAACTTCAGAATGGGTTTGGAATGACACGAGGCTAAGTAAATGATGTCTGAATATTAATTTTGAGGTGAACTAACCCTTTAACAAGAAAGTGCCACTGATAAAATTGAAGTAATTACTCTGAGAAATCTTTCAACCCCTTCAAGCATTTATAAAGATAAAATAAAGCAATCACTAAGTGATTTTCATTGGCATATTTGTAAAAAAAAAAATCCCTCTCGCCTAGGCTGTGGTACGTAAATATGCATAAAGTTATATGCATCACAGTTATGCACATTCATTATAAGTTGATTAAAAACCTGTTAACGTGATTGCTTTTATTCTTCTCTCCTGCTCTGACGGACCACCACTGACCTTTTCGCCTGTTCATCTGCCAGGAATAAATAACTTTAGAGTCAGAACAGGTGCTGTAATTTCTTGAACAAAAAAAAAAAACTGAACGTCTTAGAGGCAGTTTTAATTAGAAATTCAGTGAAAACGCAGAAGTCCCTTTTCTTTAGCATTTCAAAAACACACCATGATGTGAAGCGTACGTGTGCGTGCATGCAAGTATTTCTAAGCACCTTCAGATTTAGATCTATAAACCGATGAATGAAAAACCTCAGATCATTTGGTTTCAGAGAAATATACGCATCGGTTGAATAGACAGGAACAAACTCAAACAAAAACAGGCAGAAAAAAAAAAACAGAAAAAAAATCTAAACCCCCAAGACTCCGGTTCATCATTCTGTGCTTCAGGTGCGTTATTGATCTCTAAAGCATGCGTGTGTGTGCGCGTTCATGCCCATATCGCCGTTTAAGAGCCATTATGTATTCCCGAGTGGATCTGAGGAAGTGATAGTAGAAACTGAATCACGGCAGATGCTCAGAAGCCAACAGGCCCTTCAAGAACATTACACGTTTCCTCTCGCCTCAAAGAGAACTGACATCACTGTCATCCTCACCATTCCACAACAGGCCCGGCTTACAAAACAGCACCATATGCTGCTGTCAACCACACGCCGCCGATGCTGCATCAGGACTCCTCAACCCTAGGCTGATGCAAAGCGATGTATGTTTAGACCAGTGTTTTCTCTGGTGGTGACAATGGAGAACTTGTGTTTGTTTTTTGGCAGTGGCACCATGGCATGATGTGTTGGATGAACACTGTATCCGATTAGAGGATTTAGAGTGATGATAGACAAGGTCCATTAATCTGCCAATATTTGCTTGTTTTGAGATTATTGCCATTGGCCTGGTAGCCCTGTCTATTTGGCAGATTAACAGTCGAGGTTGTTTCACTTTGTATCAATTTACAAAATCTGCCAAAAGTATTGCCAAAGAAAAAATATATATATATTCATTATTATTATTATTATTATTATTATTATTATTATTATTAGTAGTAGTAGTAGTAGTAGTAGTATTTATTATTTATTATTATTATTAATACTATTATTGTTCATTAATTTTCTTTTGGGTTTATTCCTTTTATTAATGTGGGGTCACCACAGTGTTATAAACCACCAACTTATTTATCATATGTTTTACGCAGCGGATGCCCTTCCAGTTGCAACCCAACACCCATACACTCACATTCACACACATAAGGGCGTCACACACCGGATGCACTGATCAGCGCTGCGACACGGCACGCACATGACAGTTAAAAGTATCGCACACCAGATGCGGACATTCGCCTGCCGCTCTGTGGCGCGGCAGAAATATTAACAGTGTCCTAAGTCGTGGCTGGGCGCCGTGGACAGCCGCCAACTTGCGGCGCTGGTGTGTGTACCCTGATATAAAAACCTATGTTTAGAATTCTAAAATGCATGGCGCTACGCAACGCTACGCTATATGTCACCGAGCGGCGCTTCTGGTGTGTAACCCCCTTATACACTACGGACAATTTAGCCTGTTCAATCCACCAATAGCCCTTGTCTTTGGACTGTGGAGGAAACCGGAGAACCAGGAGGAAGCCCACACGAACACAGGGAGAACATGTAAATTGCAATGTAATCGCAATGTTACATAATATACTAATATATAGTATTATACAACAATATAATAACGTATATAGTAACATATTGCATTATAGTATTATAATACAAACGTAGTACTGTACATACTCGAGAAGCTGACAATTTCGGATGCAGCCACTGACCAAACTTAATTTTTAAAAATAATTGAAGAATAATTAAAAACTAATTCAATGCTGATATAGCACAAACATACAACTTTTTCTTGACATAAAACAACAAGTTTTAAGAACGTGCCACCCCCCAGCCTATTTAGTTTAGTACATTTTCCCTTTTCTCTCGCTTTTTTATTTCTTTTCTATTTTTTTCTATTTATTTATTTTATTTTATTTTATTATTACTGTTTATTTTACTTAATACACCATGCTGTCAAACTCAACGTCTGGTACAGACCTGTTTATATGCTCAATTTGAAAATTGATTTATGCACATTATATAGTGTTTATGCATGTCATATACTGTGAGTCGCACAATATGAGGGTTATAGTGTGGTTTATTAAAAAAAAAAATTAATCAATGTTGTACTGTTATATATATATTTTTTTTCTGTTTGTACTGTTATTGTCTCTTTTTACTTTGTTTGTTAACTGTCAAAAAAATCTAATAAATAAATCTTAAAATAATAATAATAATAATTCAAGTCAAAGTATATTTACAGAGCATTTGTTAAAAATGCTAAATGTTAATCACAGTGCTTTACATAAAAGATTAGGATTAATAGAGACCAGTGTTGGGTAAGTTACTTTAAAAAAGTAATATATTAAAAATTATGGAAAATTGTTATTTGATTGCTTTACTAATTACTTCATGTCAAAAATATTCAGATTGCTAATTACTTTACTCTGAAGTTACTTTTAAAACATATAAAACATACCTATAAATAATACAAAATAAACTGTAGCTCTTTCAGTAATTTAATATTTTCTGAAAAACAATACAATGGGTTGAACATAGCTTGACATTTCCAAAAGACTTTGATAGTTCGTCCAAAACTTAAAATTCTTTCATCATTAACTTGTTTCAAACCTGTTGACATCTATAGTATGAAAAAAGCACTGCACTCTTTAGGTGTTCTGTGTTTGTCTGAAGTAATTAGTCTACCGAAATGGTGAGCTTTTGTCACGTGACCCGCGGTTTTTATCTTGGTGTGCCTGGAAAATGCAAGCACGTGCAATATGGACTCCCAATTTGCACTCCATTGGAAATTGGCAACATAAAAAACTGCATACTGTATTTAGCAGCTTACAGTAGGTATTCTTTTTTCATTTAAAATGTAAATATACCAACATTAGTGTTGTAATTCTAAGTGAAGGCTTTTTAATTATAAATACTACCAAACATGCACTTGGAATAGAGCGATGCAATACTTCTGTGCATTTCAGTGTTGCGTCATAAAAAACGCTGGTGTTTCTAAATGGACTGAGGCTGTTACAATATATGTAGTCTGTTCTGTACGTGTATAGCCATATACTGTCTTGAGATGTTATATGCTTGTTTGTTGTCATACTATAATGAATGTGCGCTCAAGCCTTCCAAATCTGTCAGTTGCATCATTCGTACATAGACCAGAATAATAGTTTGCTTGTGTGCTACTATTTTGTACAGTATCTCTAAATAATATCTGAGGCTATACTTTAAGTGAAGTTTATTCCAGAAGCTGCAGTTTTAATACCATCATCATTGGTTGCCTGATTGTTTGCCTTAGCTCGTCAGCTCTAATTGACTGCTGATATTAAGGAAAGCGTTATTGCTCAACACAACATTCTCAGGGGAAGGACGCAATCCAGACCCAGATCCTTCTAAATGAGTTTCCTCTCTATTTCTTTCCCCCCAAATGCACATCTATTAATTACACCCTGAGACACACAGAGGAGCAGGTTTGCAGAAGAATGCAGAGTTCATAGCAAATGTTAGTTGTCCTGGATTTGGAACAGTTTATTAGACAACAGTGTGTATATTTTTAAAATTTGTGAGTTTTTTCCTAATCTAGATGTTATATAGGCTTTTAAAACAATACCGTAAGCTTCACTTTGCGTCACTCTGAAATAACAATGGAAAGCACACTCCAAACATATATTAGTTTTTAGCTGAACTTGATTTAATCATTCATTCATTTTCTTTTTGGCTTAGTCTCTTTATTAATCTGGGGTCGCCACAGCAGAATGAACCACCAACGTTTCCAGCATATGTTTTACGCACCTTCTTGCTGTGAGGTGATCGTGCTACCCACTGTGCCACTGTGACGCCCTGATTTAATAATGAACTCAACTTTTTTTTTCTGATACAGTCATGTTATTTTTTATTAATTTGGTGCATCCAAAATTAAATAAGAATTAGAATATGTTCTTGAAATTGAACAACTGAGTATGAACTTACGTCATGATCTTAGTTTTAATCTCAGATTTTCAGAAGTGGTTGATCGAGCTATTTGATTAAATTATTTCTTTTTTGATTGCATTTTTTGAATTCCATGTGAACCTGAAGTTGCTAGGACTTGTATTTTATATTGTTGATGTAATTCCAACTGAATATTGAGAATGGGATGGGGGGTTATTTTTGTGCATCATTCACTTGTAACAAATTAACGGTAAGTGGTTAAGAATATTGTGACTGAAGCCATCAAACTGACACTAACATAGAAAGACCTCTACTACAAACACAGAAGCGAATGGTCAGACTTTAACTGAAGATTACCAAATCAAATATTTTATTTTCAGTGGTTTAACTTGCACAGATTGATTGTTCACCTAAATGTGCGCTAGCAAAATAAACATTTACATTTTGATTTCACAAGGACTTTAAGTTAACCCAACGACCAAAGTAACTTCAATGTGAAACAATAATTCTGGACTGAGAAGTCTGAAACAGTGGTGATAAATCAAACTGTTTAATTAAACAAAGTGAAAAAAACTACTGTAAATCTTTTTAATTGAGGTAATGTTGAGTTCTACAAAAAGGCATACTGATTAGTAGGCTCTCATGGAATCTTTACAAATATTTAAGTTTATTTAGCTTTTATATTTATTTCAGTAATCTTATTGAAAAAAATGCTAATGTTTAGACGATTTGTGTACAGTACAGTTGTGCAAAGTGGTATTTTTTGTTCTTTTGTAGATATTTAATATGAGAGATTTGCTGAGCTTTGTTTGCCAAACAAGTGGTTCTAATTGGATTTGTATTGTAAATCCTAAAAAACAAAAGTTCTTAAGTTTTGTTTCATGTGTTAAGTTTTCAGTTCTATAAATTGCGCATACATCCATAGATAGTTTTTTTTTGTTTTTTGTTTTTTTGTACAGAAACAACAACAAAAAAAGTTCACAGATGTGGTCTTGCCCTGCTGTTTACTAGAAATGTGATGTGAAAATAATTAATAACAGTAATATAAATATTTATAAAATGTTTATAAATAAATAATATATAAACAAATAATTATAAAATGATAATGAAACAAATAAATAAATAATAAATACTTGTTGATTTAAAAAAATAAATGATTACTGGTTACTTTGTGATGAAGCCTGTACCAGAAGCCAGTTACAGTATAATGGTATTATAAGCCATGAAAACATTATTATTATTATTATTATTATTATTATTACTACTACTACTACTACTACTACTACTACTACTACTACTACTAATCTCACATAACCAGGGGAACTATTTCTTTTTCATTGCTGAGCTCTCATTATTTATTTATTTTTTGACCTGTCAGTACAGTATGTCTTATAGATTTTTTATTATTTTTTTTTAGTTTTATTATTATTTTTTGATTATTATAAGTTTGATGAGTGAGTTGAAAGATTTCAGAAGACATTCTTATGTCATTTTTTCTCTCCTGTTTTCTCTCTGAATTTAAAGCCCCAACGTTTGATTATGGAGACATGCCATCTCCATTAAGTGAGACAGAAAGCACCATCACAGTCCTGCTGCGTCCAGCACAAGGCAGAGGAGCTCCTGTGAGGTAAGAGCAACAGCATTTCATTTAAAAGGAGTAGATTGAAAGTGATTGAGGTTAAGCTATTAAGTTAATAATTTAAAAATACTAAGTTTTAACACATTTTTTATACAACATTGATTACCTCTAAAACAATTCTACTTATCACGTGTAAGAATGTAAAAAGAAATACAATTTAATATAAAATGTAAATAAAACAAATTCAGGTATTAATATAAACAATAATAAATCAATTAAAAATAATAAATTAAACTCAAAATAAAGTCGTTTTATTTTATTTATTTAAGAGTGATTAATACGTTTGAGTGTTTATTATAAGTAATTTGTCTCCACTCTAAATTACATGCATATGTTATTTACATACTACTGAAACACTGGGTACTTCAGCGTTATAGAGGTTAACTAAACTTAAAAATATAAAAAATATATATATATTTATTTGAAATTAACACCAACTGACATAAAGAGTAAACATATGATGATTATAAATAAATATGACTTCATTTATTTCAGCTACCATGGCAACATTTTTCATTATAATTTATTCATATCGAAATTAAAAATGGAAAAAAATAAGAAAAAAGAAATAGATAAATAAATTTATGTTAAATTTAGAGAAAACCTAACATGCAGGCTGTGGCTGTTTAGAGAATTACCTGTATATGGCATTTTTACAGCCAAACAAATCATTTGAGAGCATGCGTATGTATAAACACAAACATATTTTCCACAGTATATAAACATAAAGCTTGTTTTATTTTTGCCTTGTTTGACACTGGAGGAGTTGTTTTAACTCTGCTAAATCAGAAATAGTAAAACTGAAACTAAATGTATAATAAAGCTAAATATAAATGTAAATAATAAAGGTAAGTAGAAATTCACACAATAAAAACTGCAACAAAAAAGCTACGAAAAAAGTGAACTAAGCCAAAATGTATAACAAATGTAAAAATAGCATTGAAATAAAAAATATTTAAAATAATAGAAACTGTACGTAAACCTTTGTATTTATGTGCAGCACATATCAGGTTGTGGTGGAGGAGGAAGCTGGAAGGAAAGTGAAGAGAGAATTGGGTATTCAGGATTGTTTTCCCATTCCTACATCGCATGGTGAGGCTCAGGCCCGTGGAGCTCCACACTACTACACAGCAGAACTGCCTCCCAGCAGCCTGTCTGAGGCCACGCCGTTCACTGTCGGTGACAATCACACATACAACGGCTACTGGAACAGCCCTCTTGACCCCCGGAAAAACTACCTCGTCTACTTCCAGGCCATGAGCAACTTCAGAGGCGTAAGTTTTGTTTTGAATTCACAAATTGGATTTGCATATTTTTGAATCCTATTCTCAGTTCACGACTTGGATTTGTGTATTTCTGAATCCAATTTTCAATTTATAAATTGTATTTGTATATTTTTAAATCCTATTTTCAATTTATGAATTGGATTTGTGTAGTTTTGAATCGTGTTTCGAATTTTCAAATTTGATTTGTATATTTTTAATCCAATTTTCAATTTACAAATTGGATTTGTGGATTTTGGATTTAAAAAAAAATGTGTTTTGACTTTTGAATTTAGGAATTAGATTTGTATATTTTTAAATTATATTTTAAGTTTTTGAATTGGATTTGTGTATTTTTTAATCCAATTTTCAATGTAGAATTGGATTTGTGTATTTTTGAAACGTGTTTTGAACTTCCGAATTGGATTTTGTAAATGTAAATTGCATTTTGGATATATGAGTTATAGTTTGTAAATGTATTATTAATGAGATTGATCTGTGACCATGCATGTGTTTTTCGCAAGTTTCAGCTCGGTGCAGGTATAATTTTCATGTTATGCACCGCAATGTTTAAAAAGCAAATACAATTGCACCCATGGGTGTGCTGGTCTGAAAAGAATGGGTGTTAAGGCACATTGTTAGCATGTTGCTATTTTGAGGCAATTAAACTAAACTGCTTTTCTGCCTTTAGTAATTTTATTTATTTATTTATTTATTTATTTATTTATTTATTTATTTATTTATTTATTATTTAATCGTCTGTTAGTTAGTTAGTTTGTTTTTTAAATGGTGCATTAGAGTTGCAATAGAGTTATAGTCAAGTCCAAATGCTTGCATGTGTTGCTTATTACACAAACTAGGATGCACAGCAGCGCACCGATATATATGAATATAAAAAATAAAAGGATTAAAATGTGAAAGATGGGATTTTGCTTTTGAAAGATAGAATCTTACTCTGTAGATTGTCAGCTCACGTGCTTTAACTTTGGGCATGAGCAAATCTTTAGCTTCACACTCAAACAGAAAAACTGAAAAAAATATATAAAGTTTAGAACCACTTGAGTGTGAGTTAATGGTGAGCAAGTTTTAATTTGTTTGCTTTTTTTAATGAATTATCCCTTTAAGACAAATGCTAAGTTTGGAATCGCTCTTCATATGCTACATACAAATAACTTTTATAACATTAGTCCACTTGAAAGAGTAAGTAAAAATGAGTGAAATCAAAAATGATTTCAGACATTGAGTGCCCTGAAAGTTCTGCTGCTTTCACATAGTTTGTGCTCGATGTCGTTTAATAATATTAAAGTCAGCAGTTCCTGTTGTAATAAAAAAAAGTTGACAAATATGAATCATCTGATCAATTTAATAAACAAATACCACCTTAGGTTGTACAGTAAGCTAGCTGTTAAGAAAATGTATGGATGAGTGATTCACTTGCAGATATGGAAATTCATGCAGCACAATCCTCACAGTAGTTAGGTTTCCACCCACCTATGGTTATGTGCATTTTGGAATATTGCTAAGAAATGGATGAGAAATTTTGAAAACGTGCGCATAAAAAAATATCTGTACAAATGGGTACGATTAACTTTTTTATTCGATAAGAAAAATGTGCAAAAGCCATGATGAAAACACATTTACTGAAGGAATTCCAGCATGTGTATCAAAAAAGTAATGTTATTTGTATTTGAACAGATCAAGTGATAAAAAATTTGCCATGATTGGACATTAATGGACAAACCAGTGGACCGACCACATTGCACAACATCTTAAATATTGTTTTGGACATTCTAAAATCCCTTAGCCAAAGTCAATTATCAAAGTGGTTCATTATGTTGCATCTTTGTCTTCTGAGGCTCAGGTAATTTATGACATAAAGAAAAAATCCCCACATTTGCTTCTCCTTCCTCAGCAAATTTTATTTTTATTTTTGATATTCGAAGCCAGTTTGTCAACAAGTGTCGATTTTGTTCCTTTTGACTCATCGGATGGAAACTTTTTTGCTTTATTTGCAAATGTCTTCTGCAGTAATCTAGTTTTATGCAAAGCTCTAACTGTCAATTTAGGATAGAAACTCCTCATTCTGTTCTATCGTGATGAATTATGGGATTGAGGCGGTTTAGACACCACTGCAAATGGCTTCCCTCCTTTTTTTGTCTATATAGCAAACATGAAATGATTGGTCAATAAAATGGCAACCTTTTGAGACACACACTTAAAGTTCTACTGTTTTTAAATCCTTGATGTGTAATATCTTTCCCACCCTTCCAGATTGTTTGCAGTATGCACAGCAGGAGATAAACTGCAAAACAGGGACCAGAATAAACGGCAAGAAGCACCTGCAGCTAGTAAATCTGCAATTAGTGGATGTACAAAACATTATGGGATGTTGTTTTTCTTCCTTTCTCCTACCGTTCGAACCCCTAAGATAGTGTGTGTCACAGACCCAGTGTGAAATTAATAATGGAGTATCAGCACACCCCAAGCTTTGGGTGTCCAGGCCTTATTCAAATGGGAAAAACAGCCCCTGCGCTCCCCATCCATGCCTGGATAAGAGGATAAACAACAAGGAATGCCGTCTCGCTGGCATAAACCATTTCACAGGGATAATTGGGCACAGGTGCAGCTGATCAAAAATAGATCAGCTGGCAGTTTATGTTGTTAGAAATGGCTTGGGCTGGGAGACAGAATGAGCTCGACAGCGCAGGCAAGACAGAGCCTGGAAAACAGCCGGGGAAATGGGAATCTCAAAGATTGATCCGGAAAGGCGCCAAATAAGTTTCTAAATCGGAAAAAGCATCCGTCAGAGGCAAAATATAGATCTTGCTTAATAAAGAATTTGATTAAATGGGATTAGTGCTCAACCGATGGACGGAAATACAGTTTGTTGTGGCTGAAAGAAGTCCATTAAAACCCATGACCAGCCAGAAGATGATGATGCCATTTTCAATCCAAGTTTGTTGGTAGAATTGCAGTTTCTAAACACAGTGCCTTACAAAATTATGCTTACCCCTTAATTCTTTTGTAATTTTTTTGTCATGTTGCAGCATTATGATAAATTACTTTTTATTGATTTGTCATTGGCGACGCGGTGGCGCAGTAGGTAGTACTGTCACCTCACAGCAAGAAGGTTGTTGGTTCAAGTCTCGACTGGGTCAGTTGGGATTTCTGTGTGGAGTTTGCATTGATTTGGGTAGGCTAAAAATGGATGTTTCCCAGTGATGGGTTGCGGCCGGAAGGGCATCCAATGCGTAAAAAAGTGCTGGATAAGTTGGCGGTTCATTCCGCTGTGTCAATCCCAGATTAATAAAGGGATTAGCCGAAAAGAAAATGAATGAATGAATGAATGAATGAATGATGTCATGTGATCAATATCACATGTGTAGCAGTGCAACATGGCTGTATGTTGGCACTAGTGAGAGCCTAAGAGACAACCTGCAAACACAATTTGAATAATCTTTGTGTAGTGATGATGTTTATATTCATAAAAGGTCAGTCAAGTTAGCATTAATTTGCATGAATATGAACTAAATTAATACTAAATTATCATATTGTAATACAATAAACATAAAAAATAAACTTTAAAAAATGAAATGATATGATGTAATTTCAAACTTTCATAAAAGGTTAATAAATATAACGTAACTTCAAGTTAAATACAATAATAGTAAATTGTGACATTGGTTTTTAATAAGAATTAACGAAAGGACCATATTTGCCAGTAAATTGAAGTTATGCACCTTGTATGGAACACTATTTTAATCCTGTACAGAACACCATTAATCCCTACAGTATCATCTTCCGTACACATGTGTAGGCGATACATGTTCCCTCTTTTTTCAAAAACTACTGGTCCAAGAGACATCAGTCAAAATTTGGATTGTGCAGTAGGTATTCATGCAGAGAATGATTGCACAAACATGCTTATCTGGTTTTCGATGACAAAGGAGTGATCGTTTGAGTGCACTGAATAGCGAAAAGTGTACGGAACATGGTTAGTCTACGTTCCCCCTTCCATCCCTACTTCTCCTCATTTCCTAGTTGGGTAGTACGGTGGCTCAGTGGTTAGCATTGTTGCCTCATAGCAAGAACGTCACTGCTTCTAGTCCTTACCAAGCCAGCCAACGTTTCTGTGCTGAGTTTACACATTCTCCCCGTGCTTACGTCGGGTTCCCCGGTTTTCTCCCATTGTCCAAAAACATGCAACTTAAGTTAATTGACTAATCCAAAATCAGCACAATAGACTTGCACCTAGTAATCAGTTATCTCTTAAAATCATTCACTATCTGTTCATTAGCAACCACAGCAGGGGAGTTTTCAAGATCTGAGCTCAAACTCCCCTCTCGCCTTTCAAACGGGAGGAAGCCCCGGGCTCGAGAATCTTATGAGCTCAGGGCTCTTTCCTGGGACAGCATGCCACATAAGCTTGATAATCAATCATCAGCTAGGTGTGAACTCTTGGAAAGTATATGAAAATGGATAATAATAATAATAATTATAATAATAATATTAATAATAATAAGAAGAAGTAGAATAAGAAAGAAGAATGCAAAAACAGTTGGGTTATGAAGTTTGAATGGAAAGCCCCCAAACCCAAAGAAAACCATTCACCGTTCAAATGAAAGCCGATGAAAAGACGACATATAAAGCAATTTGCACTGTACCCGCGCAAGCCAACCTCCATCTTGAGCATGACAGGAAGCTTCTCTGATTTTTGCCTTCTGGTTTCATGGTTATTAGTTACCTGCCGTACTCAATTATACACTATTAAACCTCTCAGCCTTTTTGGGTTGTGTGAGCGAAAAAGAGTTTTTTAATGGTCTATTTAAATTTGACACCACCTAGCAAACCTCACGCTCAAAAAGATGTGTGTGACATTTAGAAGAAGGTTATCTCATTGGCTCAGCACCTGGAGGAATGGATGAGCCAGCTTGGCTCATTCCACTCTTCTGAACAGCAATTCAGAGGCACAAAACTTGGACGGACTTTACCTGCGCTATTACACAGTTGGG